GAGCAATAGGTTAGCCGTCACTGCTATAAAAGTTAGTGCCTCTGTACATACAACAAAACAACAAAATTACATTTGTAAAGGGCCTTTTACATCAGGTGCTGGACAGACAGAGATTTAGACCTGAGCTGGGGGTTGGGGTTGGGAAGGGTGGAGGGCAGGGGAGGAAGCAGGGAGGAAGAGAAGGGTTTTGAGATGAGTCTTGAAGGTGACAAGGGAAGGGGCGAGGCAGAGGGACTGCGGCATGGAGTTCCAAAGGGTAGGGGCAGAGTGGCAGAAGGCCTGCCCCTCAATAGTGGGGCGACCGAGGCTGGGAACGTGAAGCAGCCTGGAGTCCGCTAAGAGGAGGGAGCGAGTAGGATTTTAGGGGGTAAGGAGGTCGCAGATGTAGGGGGGAGCAAGGCCATGGAGGACTTTGAAGGTGAGAACCAAGATCTTGAACTGTATCCGCCGTGTGATGGGAAGCCAGTGGAGTCGGGCCACGGAGCCTAGTGCAGGAGAGGACATGGGGTGCAGAATTCTGGATGATCTGCAGCCTATGGAGGGAGGAGTTGGGGAGGTCGACAAGCAATGAGTTTGCATAGTCAAGCCTCGATGTAATGAACGCGTGTATGAGGGTTTCGGTGGCCTGAGGTGTGAGACAGTGACGGAGCTGGGCAATGTTGCGGACGTGGGGTAAGGCAGAGCAGGTCATGAGTTAGAAAGGATAGTTGAGGGTCAAACAAGATGCCAAGATTCTGGACTGGCTTAGCAAGGTAGTAGGTAAACCCAGCATCAAATGTTTACACAGAAGTGTCCCACAAACAGCCATGAAGCAAATGATCAGTTTTATTTGGAAGACTGTTTGTCAGACCATTGAGATTAAAAAAAATGGGGTGTGGTCGCCAGTGCTGTGGCATCGTGATTTTGCATGGGCTCAGAAAGCTGTTCAGCTCCACTGATATTCATTACACGTCAAACTGCATTGTTATTCTTTTACACGTGTCAAACATGTCAAAAGTTAGTATATATTTAGAATATCCTGGTTGGTATCCCTAGTTTCACCATCCATAAACACCAGCTAATCCCAAACTCCAACACCCACATCCTGGTCATCTCTAAACTCACAGGCGTATCATCCCAGTCCTTGCCAGGCTCCACTAGCTCCCTGGCTCCCAACAGATCAATTTCAAGGTCCTCATCCTCATCTACAAATTCCTTGCATTTGCCTATTTCTGTGAATTTCTCCTATCCCATTTCTCTGCTCAGCCCCCCACTCAGCTAATAAGCACTGTGAAGATATTATGCTATGTGAAGGGCCTTATATAAATGCATGTTGCTGTTGTTGAAGACCTGAAAGTTCAATTCAGGAAGCCTTTCCTCACAAATGAAGGTTCCCAAGTTCTTCAATCATCTTTGCAATATCAATAAACCCTCCCCAATACATCAGGGGGCATTAATAGTAATAATCCTTGCATTTGATATAGCGCCTTATTATGTCTTTGAGATGTCTCAAATTGCTTCACAGAATATACAATAAAGTGAATTGATTATTTTTGTGTGTGAAACATAGCAGCCAGTTAAATTATGGGGTGCGTTAACCATGAGTAAACACATGGAATGTCCTTTGATGGTAATAATATTGTCTGCTTATTGAATAAAACATATTCACTTCACAGTAACACACTGCTTTAATCAAATCTTTCTACAAAAAATGTTTGCATATTAAACAGTGTATTGCTATACAGTAGATGTGCACATTTAGAAAATGCAAAATACAATTTATACACAAAGAACTTAGAAACTGTTCATCAAAAGCAAATATAATAATCTTTGTATTTGCATTCAAATATTTATGTTATTCTTACAGGTCATATATGTATTCATGCAGACAGTGACCAGCTATTTGTAGTCACTTTATCTAGGTCTCTCATTGGCAGTTATGAGGAGCAGTCTTTCTCCTGAATATATTGGATATTCCTTATTTATTGCAAGTATAAAAACATCAGCATAAATCACCAGGTTGCAGTACACCTCTGCAGGTAAGTATTTTCTTCATTTCCAGGTCCCAACATCCACTTGGTTTTAATCTGAGCCAGGCAATGTTTCTTGGTAAAATCTAAGCCTGTATCAGTTTCTTGTTATTGTTGGCTATTTCTTTCCCAGTGGCAATCTATCGAGGAGAGCCAAAATCCACTATCTCCTTGCCCAAAAAATATTTTATATGATCGGCCTGGAAGCCATGGGCTCAATCTATTTCAATCTATCAAGTCCAGCCCAGAAATAAAAGTAAGTGATCTTCAGACCATTTTAGGGAATACTTTAGAGGTTATTTCTGGATGAGCGAGAGCATGGATCTCTTCACTTTATAGCTGATCAAACCCAGAAAGCCTTGTCTGCCACTGTGTGATTTGTATCATATTGTCTGATGCAGAAGTATAGGAATAATCTAGACAAGAACAATCTCAGGTTACTGAAACATATCTTAATATAAAAATGGATTTCCAAGCCTCCTTTATGCTATCATGTATTTTCCAGTGAATTGCAAAAATAACCAAACAATACAATTAACAAACAGCACAATTTTTCAAAAACAGGCAGATTTGGGATAATTCCTCAAATAAAGTAACAGAAGAAGGAATACAACAGCTGTTCAAAACAGTTTTTTTTAAAAAAACACACACGCAAATCAGAAAACAAGTTAACCTGCTCTGCTCAGTTAATTTAAACTATTGTATAAGCTTACAGAACATTTTCATTGAGTTGCAAACTTAAAAACAAAAATCTACTGCATTTCTTAACTAACACCAGCATAAAATTGTCACCCACCAGGTAACACTTCTCCAGTAAACATTTGCTTCCTTTTCATAACCAACTATCCACCATCATTTTTTAAATTTGATAGTGATTTCTTTTGTAAATTTACACCCTAGAGATAACTTATCTTTATTTAATATTTATTCCCTACTAAAGTCTTCTAAGGAGAGGTCAAATTCAACAATCGCTAAACATAGGAATTGCTAGAGGAAAAAAGCCTAAGATCCATCTAGTCCTCCTTCTACCATCTTGGTAGTCGCTACAATAATGGAGATGTTGATAGCAATTAATTTTATATGGATTAGTTTACCATCACATTGGAAAGCTTTTGAAACCTTAGATCCAAAGTTGCTTAGTTCTTCCAAGCATGCTACACTTGTCATGTCTCAAATTCCTCATATACTGTATCCCAAAATATTATTATTATAATATTACAGATTAAACCTGGAAAATAAATTTTAAACAAATAAAAACCTTAGAGACCACTTTAAGATCTATAATTCACAGCAACATTTACCATTGTAACAATAACTTATTTTAAATGGTGAGTGTTAGGTTCTGAAAATTTAAGATCATGCATTATGGTACAGTGATAAATTTAAGCTTAATTTGGAAGCCAATTTTCTGCCTTTTTGAAGATTGAATTTTGAAGAATTATTGACAATTCTGCATCACTTTAACATTTTGAGAGTGGGTGGTCTCAGCGAGAAAGACCTGGTGGAATTTTGGCTGCTTTGTTAGTTTATGAGATAGCAGGTATATCAGTGCAATGATCTGTACAATGCAATCACTGTACCCCTAAGGTAACTTATCTCAATCAGCAAACAAAACACACTGTATTGTTCACAATTCAATGCCAAGCAAAACAAACAAAACAATTAATATTCAGCATCATTTTTTACTATTAATTACTGTAGCTTTAAACAGTTTATTTAGCTTATTGCAATTCAGTTATAGCTTCTTTTTACAGTAAATAAGATTAGTAGTTCCGTAATAAGGTAACTAAAATGAGGATGTGTAACTGTTCCCAAACAGAAGTTGAGCTGGCCATACTTCAATCTTAACTTCCTCTAAATTAATCCTTTATTAAAGGCACTCAATACGCTCACAGTAGCTACAGAAAGACAATGTAGAAGTTGCTTAAAAGTGTAATTCCCCCAGTGTGTGTCCAAAGAGGTCCATCACTAGACTAGTTTACAAATTTTAACGGTTTGTAAAAAGCCTTGAGAACAGTCCAATTGCCTGGTTAACAATTTTCCTTGATGGACTCAACGGCCATTGACAGCAATTGTCATTGCTCTGATGTCTGATATTCTATGATTAAAACTGAGCGGTAAAAAGGGGAATGGTTTCAAATGAGACTATGTTCTTTGAGCTGCCTTTGAAGAAAAAAAGCTATTACAATTCTGATTGTTCTCTGCCTTTGGCTCATAACATATCTGGACAATCATCCATTCATTGAGTACAGCACCATTTGCTTCCTTTACAGCAAATCTAACACTGACTTCAGCACAGTGTTTGTGAAGCATTATATATCCTCCAATCAAAAAAAATTATTAAAAGTTTCTACATAATCCTTTGAATAATCATGTACTTCTACTAACCTATTATGGTAGAAGACAGTTCGACAACATGGAGGGATTAATATAATCAAGGCGCTTAAGACAAAAAATAAAGTGATCTTTCAAGAGGCAAAAAAGAATTGATTATAAACTCCATAAAAGAACTTAGGTTATGCATGTAACTGTTCAAAAATGTCATGTTAACAGTAAGGCAACATACAACCATATCAAAGGAAGTGGTTTTACAATGTGGTCAGTGCAGCATCAAATACAAGTGGATGCACAGTATTGGCATCTGCTACCATTGCACAGACACAGTGTGGACAACACAGATCAACAGTAAATTACTCCTTGTATAACAAAGTGTGGACAAGGTTTAGATGGCTTTAACGATCCACTTCAACAAAGCCTTAATTTCTGTGATATATAAAAAATCCATCCTTTTGTGTAATTGATTTGTGACACATCTTCCAAACAGCCTTGTAATATTGACAAACAACTACCTTTGTGTACATTATCCCAAAAGATGTGAAAAACAATACTTGGTTACACAGAGCCACAAAACAGTAGTTTCACAATTCCAACATTATTTCTATGTACATAAAATGTTATTAAAATATACATTCAGTCTTTTTATGGTTTCAGCAGGGCACAGGGGTGTGTGCTACTTTGCTTTACTCAATGTCTTAAATTCGTACATGTTTATTTCCATTTTCAAAGAACACATCATCGTTCATGAGCAAGGGCTGGGTGGAAGCATTGCTGCTTCCAGCTGAGTTAAGGCGGGAAGAACGGCTGGAAAACTCGAGCTTGCTGGTGAAAGTCAACTCCAAGTTGGAATAGATCTATAAAAGCAAGGTGAGACATTAATTATTAGAGTAGGGTTATTCATTTAAGAGCTTGATCTGATCATTATTAAACTTTAGAACTAGAGGGTCAGTAGAAGTTTTAATGGGTAAAGTGAAAGGGCAGGGCATTGGGATTAAACAATCCACCAAGATCTAATAATCTGGTGGAACAGGCTCAGTGATCTGAATAATAATAATCCTCGCATTTGATGTACATCTTATCACGTCTTCGAGAATTCTCAAAGCACTTCACAGAATATACTTTAAAGTGAATTGACACTTTACTTTGTGAGCAAAACGCAGCAGCCAATTGCACACAACAGTATCCCACAAGCAGTCACGGATTGAGTGACCAAATTATTATTTTTTTTTAAAAAATGATTATTACCCCTGGAAAAGCGATCTGTCAATTGACTAACAATCGGGTTCCTACTCACTGCTAGGTAAAAGAAGGCGTGTGTATACAAAAACTTGCCCAACATTTCATCCTGCCGAAAATCAAACCCAGATCCTGTCGCTTGCGAGGCGAGTCCTCTGACCACTAAGTTATTTTCTCCGATCTAGCTGCAGTTTATACTTTTAATTTTGAATAGTTATAGAGACATAGCTACATTTTATTTTTTATCTAATAAAAGTTCTGCTTGTGCTTTCTAAATGGGCTAGCAATCCTCCAAATAAATTGATCCATCCCTAGTGTGTGAGAGGAGCTAAATGAACACAGAACAGGGATTGGATCTGTGAGCTTCTCGGTCTGTATGGTTCTGCTACTCACTGGAGAAGCTCACTGTACCAGGAGAAATTCTACCACTAAGCTAGGGAAACTATCTTTCCTTCCCCTCCAACAAAGGAATTTCAGCCACTAGGTCCCGAAACTCTGGAGCACTCTTCCTTTATCTCTCCTCTGCCCCTTCCTTCCGCAACTTCAGGTCACACCTGAAGACCTTCCTCTTCGACCATGCCTACAGCCACCTACCCCCTCCCCCTGGTTTGGAGTCATGCTCCGCCACTGTCAAGCGCTCTGGGATACTACCCTGCGTGAGGGGCGCTATATCAATACAGGTTGTTGTTGTTGTTCCTCTCACACAATGGTAGAGTCCAAAGGAATCCCAATTTAAAAAGTCTATTTTTGAACTTAAAATCGGGCACTGCAACGCCCTACTTCAGGAAACTGACAGTACAAAGCTGGTTTCCTGCAGGATTTTGTTTAACTGGGATGGTGGTGGATTGGAGGAAGAAGTGGCCTGCAGGAGAGCAGAGGGGTTGGGATCAACTCTCTGATTACAGAGAGTGAGTTAACATCAGCTAAGTAACCAAACAGCTTAGTAGTGTTCATTTAACATATATTCCTCGTGCTATTTAACAGAAAGAATATCGTAAATTTTACCCCTTAGTTCATACAGTTTTCTGTAGATGGCATAGTGCTATGAAAATGTTGTTGGCAGTTATCACAAGCCTAGCAGCTACCACACTTAGGAAATATTCAACCACTCTGGATTATGTCTAGCCTTCGGCTCCCCTCTCGACTCTCTACCTCCTCCTCGCTCCCTCCCTTCCCTCCCCTCACCCTGACCATTTCCCCCTGCTCGGGTCCTGACCCAACTGTACAGCGCCTTGGGACGTCCTCCTGACATGAAAGGCACTCAATAAATGGAATCTTGTTATTGTTGTTGTTGTCTGCCCACACATATTGCACTCAGCACAGTGCTGTGTCTGCTATTTACATGTTTTGAATTGTACGACAGCTGTTCTTCAATCATCTTCACCACTTGCTCAAATGTAGGTCTTCTTAAAGGGGTAGCATCCCAGCAAGCTTTCATGACTTCATACCTGTCCAAATAAAGCAATTGCATATGCATAAAAACCCTTTTAATGGAAGAGGCAAATTAGTTTTGTTCACAGAGGGAAAATAACTCAATGTTTGAAATTCTATCATTTTATATTTGAAACGTATCATTTATCAAACATTTTCATGGAACCTTTTCTCAGTGATGAAAGTATCTTGGTGTTAAGAGTACCTTTAAGTAAATTACAGGGGTATGGAGAAAGGGCAGGTGAATGGGACTGAAAGGATTACTCTTTAAAAGAGCCAGCACAGACACAATGGGCCAAATGAACTTCAAAGTTTTCTGTTTGTAACTAAGTGCAAACCATTTATTGGTGAGAAAAATCACATGCTTAAGTCTTAAGCAAGATTTATTTTTGTTATAACGGACAGCGGTGACCAAGTAAGCTGCAATAACATGACTTCCTTATCCCTGAAATAAAAATCTAAACCATGAAAAAATTAATTATTTAACACAGATGCTTACTACAGCATGCTGACACACTGATTGCAAAGTAGAATAATGTTTACCATTGTAACAATCCTTCTGTTTGGTACAGCACATTCAAGTCAGGAAGACGTCTCAAAGCAATTCACAGGATTGTACTGTAAAGTTTAGTAACTGTATTTTGTAGGTGAATGCGGCAGCTAATTTGTACACCTCAGTAATCCACAGACAGCCATGAAGTGATGGCAACTTTTATCAGGGTGATTATTGGTCAGATTATCATGAGAAATTTGCTTCTCTTTTCAAAAAGTACATCTTTAATTTACACCTGAACAGGTAAACAGGACCTCGGTTTAACATCTCATTCAAGGGCTGACACTCGCCCAACACCGTATTGGAGTCGCCCCCTAGACTGTGAGTTAAAATATAATAATTGACTGAATTTGTTGTGATAAAATAAACCCTACAAAATGGAAACCTCACAAAAGACAATTTACAGTATTGTCAACACTAAAGAGAAGCGGTCACATTACTTACAATTCCTCAGAGGCAAACTCAGGGTTCAGCATCCTGTAGCCTTCTTTGATCATCTTATAGAAATTGTTATCCACAGGTATGCCAGGGTAAGGGCTGCTCCCTATAATGAAATGACCAAAAAAAAACATTTGAAAAGGTACCAGAGACTTCTGTACACTTAAAATTGACCAGAAATGACTCAAGTAACAAATATTGTTTCTTTTTGGATTGCTGGGTTTATCTGACATAATTGTCTGGGTATGGGAGATTAGTACAATGTTAGAAAAAGCACAAGCTTACCTAATGAGAAAATTTCCCACAGTAAAATGCCATATGACCAGACGTCACTTTCAAAGGTGTACACGCAGTCAAAAATACTTTCCGGTGCCATCCATTTCACAGGGAGACGAGCCTTGGTTCAAGAAATGATAGTTAAGGTAATAGAAACAATGTTTCTGAACGTGTTAGTGTTTTAAAAATATAAACATTCAATAAATGTAAAAATAAATGTAAAATGGTACAGCTCCTATATTTTCCAATGCATTGTGCCAGAGTGTATAAGAGTCATTTAACATAATTGCTGGTGAGTTACTGGTTCTAGGTCAGTGATGGGGGTATCGGGATGTTTGGAATGTATACCACAGGGGAGAAAAGGCAGCTTTTATTCTAGTGCAACTCCCAACTGAGAGCCCAGGTAGAGGCCTGGAAACCTGTTGGAAAAAGGAATAACACCATATTGGTATTCTATCATCCCAAGCAAGCCAATTGTAGGTGAGTCAGAACTCCCTAGACATTAAATAATGTTGAAGGGATCACTGTCAATCCAGGGACGGGTTAGAAGAGAGTGTCTACTGGTCCAATGATGCCATGCTGCTATGGCACAGTCCATTGAAGCTATGGACTAACTTTTCTGATGGTTTACTCTCCATGCTTACTTACATTTCCTTTTACCACATAGTTGCTATCATTCCGGATATCCCTGGCCAATCCAAAATCGCATATTTTTGCAACCCGTCCATGAGTTAAGAGGATATTCCTTGCTGCTAGATCTCTGTGAATACACTGTAATGACATTTTAAAAAGTTTTACAATTTTGAGCAATAGACACAATCTACGGGCAAGGCTGGCGGTACTTTTGAGACCCTTTCCTTGCATTAAGATGAGAAATGTGTTACGGAATACGCACAAGTGTGTTACTAATTCCTCAATTAACATTACTCTTGAGCTTTTCTCTTTACTCATTACGCTGCTTCAAGTCTCCAATTCCAAGTAAAATAAACCCAAGTGCAGGTCCGCTCATAAAACGCAGACCCTGCACTTTACAGTATATCCGGGGCTTCTGATTTTCAGTTTCAACCGAAAAACACTGATCAAGACAGCCCCAATACAAAAAAAAATAGAAATTGGTGATCATCTAACAAACACTGCAAACTCTGTAAATTGTTTCCTGTCCTGACGCACTGACATGAGTGAAGGTGCCTCTCTCTCCTCCATGTGCACAGGTGCATCTGGGTGCCAGACACGCCTGCAAACACAGAGGGGAGAGGGTGCCCTCACGAAACACAGTGCCTTTCTCCTCTCACAAACACTTCACCAGGCACAGCTGCGCACATCGAGAGGAGAGAAGCACATCTGAATCTTCCATTAAAAGTAAGTGAAAATTTTTTTAGAACTCAAAAAATTATACAAATAAACTAAAATTAAATCCTGAACAATGAACTTTTTTAAAACCCGAAAATCAAAAGCTCCAAGGTTATCCTGTGAAGCTCTTTGAGATGTCCTCCTGATGTGAAAGGCACTATTCTAAATCTCAGGATTATTATTTTTTATTATTATTATTAAAATAATTAAATAGCCTTATATGATCAAATTCCAGGATTGTGGTTTGTGAGTTCAAATATGGAGTTTTTAAACTCAGGTATTTCTCCAAATTAAAACTCCGTGTTTGGATTTCTGGTTGGTCAGCCGGGTGTCTGACACATGCAGAAACTCATCAATACTCTTAAGAGTATCCAAACCAAACTCCAAATTCAACACATCCCACCTAGCCATGATCCTGGCCTATACCAGAAAACTGACCAAGTGAATTTTCCTGGGTGTTCTCTACTGGAGACCAACTGATTGGGAAAAGCCAGCTGTGGGATATAAAAGGCCGAGAGAAGAGTGGAGAGTAATGGAAAATGCTTAAGAGTGACATTAAGAGACTAGTAACAAATTTCGATTTCTTATGGTATTCCTCATCTCATAATTTGCACAAGGAAGAACACTGTAAGGAATCCTGTGTATGTTATCCATTTGATTTTATCACTGAAAGGGAACCATCATATTTACATTTGAGTAAATGTTTACAATATCAACTTACGTTCTTAGAGGAAAGGAAGTTCATTCCCTTTGCAACTTGATATGAAAAACTCAGAAGATCTTCAATGTCCAGAGCCAGAGTGTAGTCTTCAACTACTTCATTGTTGTTTTCTTTATCGCTGTATGATCCTAGACAACCAAAGCATTACATCAGTTAGTGATAAACATGCAGAAATAATCAAAAGCTCACAACGGAGGTCCACATGAAGAAAGCCCTTCAGTCCATTTTATTTCAACATGTCATGCTCACATCCTTGCAAATAAAGAAGCTGAAATAAAGCCTAATAGAACTTAAGGTTTTGTTAAGATCGTCAATAAGAAACTGTTGCAACATTCTATAGGTTTGAATGAACATTGAAAGATGGATATAGAAAGAATCTTTAGAGAGCTTGTCATGTTGAAATGTCTTAAAGCGCATCACAGGTAATCACTGTCAGTATAGCTTTTGTATTTATAGGCAAACATGACAGTCATATAATAATAATAATAATCCTTGCATTTGGTATAGCGCTTTTCACGTCTTCTAGACATCTCAAAGCGCTTTACAAAATGTACTGTAAAGTGAATTGATTGTGGGCAAAACGCAGGAGCCAACTGAGCACAGCAGTGTCCCACAGTCGTGGATTGAGTGACCAAATTATTATTGGTTTTTTTCGAGGGATTATTATCCCCGGAAAAGCGATCCGCCAATCAACCAACAACCAGGTTCCTACTTACTGCTAGTTAAGCAGATGCATGTGGAGTAAGAAAACTTGCCCAACATTTCACCCTACCGGGAATCAAACCCAGGTCTCTCACTTGCAAGGCAAGTACTCTTAACCACTGAGCTACAAGACTCCATGAATAAATCTGATTTGACCATTAAATAATACTACAGTCTCCTCCACTTCTTGTCAATGATTTCACAGGGTGCAGAGAAGGGCATGGAGTGGAGCCAACCGAGTTAACATGGTTCAGACATGGGATAAGTGAGCATTGTGTGAGGTCTGCAATTTGAACTTGTACATACATATTTATAATTATGGAATTGCAGTTTAGACTGCCTGCATAATGCAAATCTTTCATTTACTTGTTTTTGTACAAATCACCAAAACCTCAAGCAAAGGAGAATGGGGGAAGGGAAAATGTGACATGTGATGTGATGATTACCATGAGTGAGTATTAATTATCACATTGCTGAAAATTAATCAAGCCAGTTGATAATTAAATACTGTCCGCAGTATAAACCCCCCACGCCCCCATCCCCCCCATCCTAAAGTATTGATCTAGGTTTAAGTTTTCAATCCCACTTAAAATTTTGTGTAAGTCTATGTGGTCCCCTCTAAGTCATCTTCTCCCTAGACTGAAGAGCTCTAACTTGTCTAATCATTGCTCATAGCTCAATGTTTTCTTTTGTTTTGTTCTATGATCTAATTTGCACGTACTGACTAACAATCCATCCATACACTGACATAACTTACCCTTGCTCATGGATCTTCTTTTGTCTGAGTTCATTTGAGGGAAAGCTCCAGGGCTGGGCTTCATTTCCATGTATGATCCACAACTGTTATTGCAATAAGAAAGAAATAACTGAAATAAAATACTGTTGCAAATTTCAAATAATGAATTCAATCAATCAATGTTATCCAATGGCCATTGTATTTGTTTCTGTGGTGCAATGGGACCTCTTAGGTTTTTGCATCTCGCATACTATTTGCATTGATGCTAAATGCACCTGTTGGGTTTAAGAACTAGGAAGTGATATGCAGTGAACTTTTAAATAAGATGGAGTGAGTTATTTGGCACAGGACGTATTTATGAGGCTGTTGATTTTAATGTACAGACCAAGGATGTCTTAGACTGGATAACTAAAATAAAAGCAGGTTTCAAATACCTCCTTACATATTTGGATCCTAAATGAAAGTCATATGGCCCAGAAATCAACAAAATGTTAAGTTTTTGGAAATAGACTTTTTTAATAATTGACTTTAGTTTGCACATTTGTGCTGGGAAAGTAATCATAAGTCTTGTTTTACTGTGTCTCAATACCCTGGACTGTATTTTCATACTCACTAAGATAATGCCCTGTGGCAGAATTCATATTAACTTTCAAAAGGGAACTAGGTAAATATCTGAAAAAGGAATAAACTACAAGGGCATGGGGAAAGGGCATGTAAATGGAACCAAAAGAGCCTCTTTAAAAGAGCCAATGGTCTGAATGGCCTTCTTATATGCTGTAAATTTCTATGATTACATTACATCATGACTTGAGCCCCAAGGAAATCACGTTCACTTCCTTCCCTATCTCCCAATGTAAATAAGAACAAAGATAATGCAGTATTTTCTTTAGTATTATTTTTTCTCTCGGTTTCCCCAATTAAACCAGTACTGCACTAAACCCCGTTTGTTTATTCAGTGTCCTGTGCAAACAGTCTATTCCCAGTAGAAATAGCTTCACTGACCTGCTGCTGTTAAGCTGCTATTCGACCCCAGGATGTCATTAAAATTAAATATCATGTTAACAGAGTCTGAGTGTGATTTTAAGAAACAACTGAACAAACGCAGACTGACGTTTCTATTCATCTATCTGTAGAGAGCATCTGTATTCAGCATTAGAAAGATAGCACTTTGCTTGAGTGGTTTGTCAATTAATCGTGCCAACTATATTACAGTTGAAACATTTTTATCAATCATAATTTGTTGACAAATGAAAACTGTTAAATGTTGGAATTTTATTCCATAAATCAAGAAATATTCAATCAAAGAATATCAATCAAGGAAACACACTATTTATTGAAAACAAATTTACCTAGACTAGTGCTCTTAAACATTATGATCGGTTTCCACATCTGACAAGTGCAAATGTTCAGCAGGCTACATCTCGATGGCCCCTTGGACCACTTCCTGCCCATAGACCATGGGTTAGCTACCACTGACCAACATAATTCAGTCACTCCACTTTATGTAAATTCTGTGAAGCGCTTTGAGAATTCCTTCTGAAGTAAAAGGCGCCATATCAAATGCAAGATTTATTATTAATAATGGCAACTTTGACAACTTTGAAACCATCACAACTTGAAGCCTCTATAATATCAGCTGTCACTTCCATGAATACCAGCTACATATATAATAGAGAGGTAAATTGTGACTGATCCTGTCATTCAGTGTTGCTACTTTTGCATATCTGGAGGAGCAAGTGAATGCAGTATATATTACTATTAATAGCAATAACAATAATAAACCTTTCATTTGATATAGTGCCTTTCATGTTATAATAATAATAATAATCCTTGCATTTGATATAGCGCTTTGGGACGTCCTCCCGACGTGAACACACTCTAAAGTGAATTGACTGTATATTTGTGGGCGAACGCGGCAGCTAATTGCGCACAGCAATGTCCCACAAACAGTCGTGGATTGAAAATGACCAATTTATTATTGTTTTGTTTTTTGGAGGGATTATTATTAGGTGTGTGGAGTAAGGAAACTTGCCCAAGGTTTCGCCCTGCCTGGAATTGAACTTAGGTCTCTCGCTTGCAAAGCGAGTGCTCTAACTACTGAGCTACAGGACTCGAGTACTGCACATCCATTACTGTTACTTTCATAGTAGAAAATGTATATTTTTATACATGTGATAATGACTAGTTAGCTATACAATATACTCATTAAACAATGATATCCCAAAGTGATTCACAGGGTATACTGTAAAGTGCAGTGACTGTTTTGTGGACGAACACAGCAGCCAATTTGCACACAACAATGTCCCACAAACAGCCGTGAAATGAATAACCAATTATATCTGGTGGATTGTTGGCCAGGATAATGGGAGAAATTCTCTTCTCATTTCAAATAGTGCCACAGGATTTTTAACGTCCACCTGAACAAGCAGACGGGATCTCATCTGAAGGATGAGTCTACTATTACAATAATTTGTGTGTCATTTATTTGGCATAAGCATGAAAGTAGTAATCGCATTCAAAACAAGTGTGATACATATGGGATCACAAATGCTTATATCATAGGAATCTTTCAAACATTAGTTCCTATCAATAAAATTGTTTGACAAAACAAAAAGATGTTTTATATGTCACTCATCTACATAACAACAGTTATTTGTGCTTTGGGGTTCTAGACGTTACCTCTCTGGGTCCTTCGGATCTGGAATATTCTTGTACTGCATCTTTCCTGAATCCTGTTCACCATTTTCTGGCCAAATAAATGAATCTCTTTTCCGTCTCATAAAGTTCAGAAGGTCACCAAAACAGCAGTATTCAGTGATTACCAGAACCGGACCTGGAAGACAACAGTAAATCTATTTAAAATCAATGGAAATATACAAACAGCTAAGGCCTCGGAATTTGAGGAAATCCTGCTTACAATCCAGTTGCTGAGAATCATGGGGGGAAGACAAGAGGTAAACAGATTTCCTCTAACTCCAAGATGACATGCTTGGCAACGGAATGAAGGATTTGAGTCAACCCGATGTGGCAGTCATGATAGACCAGTTCCTGAGCCGCTAGGACCTGCAGTTCTTCAGTGCACTACGAAACAGCAGACCAGCCAGCCTGGCTCATCAACAGGACCTGGAGAGCAGAACAACCACTGGGGGAGTGGAGAGATTCTTCCAACTTGGCTCCTATAACCCTGCAAACCAAAGCTCTAACACATAGGGTGATCCTACCTGTACCCCAAACAAACATTCACCTAATACTCTCCAGAATTAAGTAAGCAGGGTGCCCTCCAGCGAGACAGTGTTCATTTCCAGATACAGGGAAGTTTCCAAGTGTAGATGGCATACACACACACACACACACACACACACATCCATACATACACACACACATCCATACACACACACACATCCATACACACACACTCACATACCCTCAATCAGGTATGAATACTCTTAAACATGGCTATTTTGTTTTGCAACTGTCAGAAATCCCAAATGATTACTTGATTCACAAAAATATGCTGCTACTATCCAGGCCAGGTGGGAGAAAAGAGAGAGAAATTGCTGCTTTCTCCTTTAGAAAGTAGAGCTGAACAAGCTGAACGCTCTTTAGGAGGCAGGTCAATGTAATTTCTAAAATCTCCCAAATCTCCACAAATAAAAGTCCCATGTTTCCTGGATCATAGACAAGTGACACGGCACAAGTCAAAACGAATTTTAGCTGTGCTGACAAGTAATCCAAACAAAGCCATCAGAACGCTGTAGATCTCTCTCACAATTTCTTTTAAAAGCTACTCCTTTTATAACATTGATATTTCTTGGTTTATTGGAGCAAGACAATAATCAAAGTGCACATCATTTATTCGTTCTAATTTCTTTGTTCTTAACAACCTCTCCAGGTAACTACCAAAGGCATCCGCCTCTTTATTCATTCATTACGTATGTTAATGATTTACTGCAGCCCACATCTTCTCTGTACAGCAATCTGCAAATACTGCAGAGTAGATGCCTTTCTGAGGTTGAGACAAAAGCATGGTTATTGCATTGTCAAGCACTTTGGGATGTGAAGGCAATATTTACTATACATTTTATTGTATAGAGAGTTGAATATGATTTATTCTGCATTTAACCTGCACCTGAACTAAATGTGTTTGATACCAAAACTAAGAGCTAATAGTACATAAGTGTTCTATTCCAAGTATTTGAAACCTGCATTGATGTGCCCAAATATTGGTCTAAAAAATAGAAAACTGACCAGTTGATTCTTGGAACAATTTACAAACTGTAGTTTGTATTCCAGACTGTAAGACCACCTACTGCGAAGCTTCCCAGCTGGGATCCCTTCTCATTAGGAATTCATTGCATTCCTCATCCTCATTGACTTTCAAGCAGGTAAGCTTAGTTTTCTTATTGTGCTAACTACTATTTGTGTGTGTATATTTGTTGTTTTATTATTACTATACGGTACAGTCAGTTTTCAGCTGGACGAGCACATTCAATCGACGACTGTTTGTGAGACACTGCTGTATGCAATTGGCTGCCTCGTTTTGACCCATAAAATATAGTCAATTCATTTCAAAGTATATCCTGTTAAGTGCTTTAGACATCTCAACAACATGATAAGGCGCTATATCAAATGTAAGATTATCATTGGCTTAGGTGCTTGTCCAGCTGCAGACTGACTGTAGTGTACAGTAGTAATAAAACAACAAATGTACACACACACAAATAGAAGTTAGCACATACGTGAAGAAGTTCCATTTAAGATTTGTTTCTGCTAGGGATCTGCATTGCTTGAATTTGACGGCAAGCATACCACCACCAGTTAACCATATAAACTAGGATTCCAGCCAAACCACCTTTTGGTAGCTCAATAGGTTTTGCTGGTGAGGAAAAGGAGAAGCAGAGGCTATTGTGGTATTCACTTTGGGTATTTATCTATTGTTATCTGAGTAAAACAAAACATTTTCACATGCATCACTGCTACTTTACAACAACAACAACAACATTTCATTTAGAGAGCGCCTTTCACGTCGGAGGACGTCCCAAGGCGCTGGACAGTTGGGTTGGGACCCGAGCAGGGAGGAAATGGTCAGGGTGAGGGAGGGAAGGGAGGGAGCGAGGAGGGGGTAGAGAGTCGAGAGGGGAGCTGAAGGCACGGTTGAAGAGAAAGGTCTTGAGACCGGCCTTGAAGGAGGAAAGGGAGGAAGAAAGGCGGAAAGGGAGGAAGAAAGGCGTGGACCAGAGTTTCAGCAGCGTGAGGGGTGAGGTAGTGCCATAGTCTGGCGATGTTCCGGAGGTGATGGAAGGCGGTGCCAGTTGTGGTGCGGATGTGAGGGAGAAAGGACAGCTCAGGGTCAAACAGAACACCGAGGTTCCTGACTGGCTTTGAGAGGTGGAGAGTGCAGCCTTGGATGCTGATGCTGTCAGCGCCTGAGGTGCGGAGGCGCTGACGTGAGCCAATCAGGAGGGCCTCAGTTTTGCGCATGTTGAGCTGAAGGAAGTTGTCTCTCGTCCGGACTCGATGTCGGACAGGCAGCTGTCAGGACATCGGTGGTCGTGGAGTTGAGGGTAGAGGAGGAAAGGTAGAATTGGGTGTCATCCGCATACATGTGGAAGTTACCCCATGTCTGTGGATGATGTCACCGAGGGGGAGCATATAGAGGGTGAAGAAGAGGGGACCGAGGACAGAGCCCTGAGGGACGCTGCACGAGACAGTGCGGGGGCCGGAGGAAAACCCGTTAGTGGAAACAAAATGAAGACGGTGGGAGAGGTACGACCTAAACCACTTAAGGACAGGGCCTTGAAGGTTGAGGTGGGAGGACAAGCGGTGGAGGAGGATAGAGTGGTTGACCGTATCGAATGCGGCCGATAGGTCGAGGAGGACGAGGAGGCAGAGGGAGCCCTGTTCGCAGATGGTCAGGATGTCATTAGTGACCTTGACCAGGGCAGTTTCTGTGCTATGGGCAGCATGGAAACCTGACTGAAGGGGTTCAAATAATGAATGGGTGGAGAGGAAAGAGCGCAGCTGGGAGGAGACAACTCTTTCAAGGACCTTGGACAGGAAAGGGAGGTTGGAGATGGGCCGGTAGCTTGATAGCTGCGATGCATCAAGGGAGGGTTTTTTCAATGTGGGAGTGATGGTGGCAGTTTTTAGGGGAATGGGAACAGAGAGGGACAGGTTGATGATGTCTGTGAGAAGTGGGGCAAGGAGGTGGAGCTGGGAGATAAGGAGTGGAGTGGGGATGGGGTCAAGGGAGCAGGTGGTGGGTTTCAGGGACAGGATGAGGCTGGTGACAGAGGGTGGGGAAACGGGTTCGAAGGTGTGTAGGGGAGGATGGGGAGGGGTGGGAGTGTGGGAGGGAAGGGGTGGGGGGTGGGTGGAAGTTGGATGGGCAGTGACCGCGGAGCAGATTCCCTTGATTTTGGATTCAAGGAAATCCAGTATCTCCTCGCAGTGAAGGTTGGAGGAGATGACCTGCGTGGTGTGGTGGGGAGTACGGAGGAGTCGGGATGTGGTAGAAAACAGAAGCCTGGGGTTGTTCTTCGCCTCCAGGATTATCCTGGAGTAGAAGGACGACTTGGCCGAGGCTAAAGTGGAGCGGTAGATTTTGAGGAGGTCCAGCCAGATTTGCCGGTGGATCGATAGGCCAGATTTGAGGGAGGTGCGTTCAACGGCCCGCACCTGGCTCTTCAGTGAGCAGAGGTGGGTGGTGAACCAGGGGGAGAAGCGAGAGTAAGAAACAGTATGGGAAGTGATGGGGGCAAGAGTGTCGAGTGTGGAGGAGAGGGTGTTGTGGAGGAAGGTGAGAGCAGAAGAGGGGTCAGTGAGGGATGAATGCCAGAGGGAGAGGAGTTCAGAGGACTCCAAGGCAGCGGTTAGGTATTGTGGGGTTAACTTCTTCCAGGGGCGGTAGAAGATGGTGGTGGTTCTGGCGGAGGTAGGGAGTGGAGGTGGTGAAGGAGATGAAGTGGTGATCGGAGACGGCCTTGTCGGTAATGGTGACATCCGAGACACTGAGGCCCCGGGTGATCACCAAATCGAGTGGGTGGCCGTGAATGTGAGTGGCGGAGTTGATGTGGAGGGAGAGGTTGAGCAAGGAGAGGAGGGAGGAGAAGTCCAAGGAGATGGAGCCGGAGGGGGAGAAGTGCAGGTTGAAGTCGCCCAGGATGATGAGGCGATCAGAGCAGAGGCAGAGAGATGTTAGGAGGGTAGAAATATCGGAGATGAAGGTGGGAGAGGTTTTAGGGGGCTGGTAGAGGAGGAGGATTTTGAGTGAGACAGAAATGGTCTTTATTCAGGAATAGTTAGTTCTGAATGTTGTATTAGTTAGTTAGTTTGGAATATGTATATATTGTATTTGTGAAACAAAACAATGTGCTTTCTTATTTTAGAAATTCAATAATTACACATGTATTTAAAATAATTTCAGAAATATCACAAATTATTAGAAATTCAATAATTTTGTTTTTTTTAATAAATACATCTGCTATCAAATAGCAGCAAATTAGATACCTTAGGGGTGAAAGGAGACCATTTGGCCATTGAGCCTATTCTACTACTTTTTGTCAGTCAGGTGTCAAACACATGCAGAAACCCATCACCATGCTTTAGAGTATCCGAACTGAGAATTCCATGCATTCCAGCTATATATTTTTTATCCTACTTACACATGGAAATTCCAGAGATAAATTATTGGAATGGAATGTGAATACTCTCCCTGGAGGGAAACATCCTGCTTGTCTAATTCCAGAAAATATTCATCTTGCAGGATTAACAAGAACTGAGTGGGAGGATTCCCTGCTCTTAGTGACTGGTCTGCCCTTACAAATCTAGAGGGCTGACTCGATTCCAACATTCTGTTGCCAAGCACATCACCTTGGAGCCAGTTCAGCATCAAGGAGACCACGCTTATCTCTTTTCCCCCCAGGAGGATAGTTTTGGTCATGTTAATTAACATATGCTTGTGTTAACATCAACATGGAAATGCATTAAGAAATGCTCTAGCAGTGAGAAGATTCAGTCTATTTCAAGTTTGTCAATTATCGGTATTGTACAAACCCCAATCAAATTAGCCCTAATCCTCCTCAGCTCTAGCCCATGTTCACCAAGCCTGTCATTGGTTTATTGAAATGTAGTTGGAGGCAATCCAAAGAAGATCTTTTCTCCTGGTGTCCTGATCAACAAACTCTGAGATAAAATTGTTTTTTCACTTCATGGCTATTTATTGGACATTGCTGTGTGCAAATTAGCTATTGTGTTTGGCTGCAAAATATACAGTCACTACACATTATAGTAATAAATTCTATAAAGGGCTATCCTATGAGACATTCTCCCAATATGAAAGAACTATACCAAATGTAAGGTTTATTATTAGTGGTTAAATTGGGATCCCGTCTTCCTGTTCCTGTGACACTATTCAAAAAGAGGAAAGTTTCTCCTGATGTCCGAGCGAACAATTCCTAAAAATAAAACTGGTCATTTATGTCATGGCTATTTGTGGGGCACTGCTATGAATAAATTGGCTGCCATGATCGCCCACAAATACAGCACGACATTTTGCGATAAATCCCATGAAGCACTTTGAGACCTCCCCCTGACATGATAGGTGCTACATCAAATACAAGTATTATTATTTAATTATTCCTGCTAACAAATCAAAAGTAGGATTCAATTCACTTGTGTCATGTTCCAAAACATTAGAAATACCTTGTTTGAGCTTTAACATTCTTTATAGATACCTCAGGTCTACCATGAAATGCACCATGAACTGATGTTACCTCGCTTCAGAATTCTGTCCTTATTCACATATATCAGTATTGAAACAGCTTAGTCACAATCTCCATTGAGAGACTGAGGGAATGCCAATAGCTCATTCCCCTTTACTCCACATCCTAGAAATGTAATGTCTAAAGTAGGAGTTGCGGTCTCTTACTATCATAGGTGGAGTCCTGTAGCTCAGTGGTTAGAGCACTCGCTTTGCAAGTGAGAGACCTGAGTTCAATTCCAGGCAGGGCGAAACCTTGGGCAAGTTTCCTTACTCCACACGCCTAATAATAATCCCTCCAAAAAAACAAAACAATAATAAATTGGTCATTTTCAATCTACGACTGTTTGTGGGACATTGCTGTGCGCAATTGGCTGCCGCATTCGCCCACAAATATACAGTCAAATCACTTTACAGTGTGTTCTGTGAAGCGCTTTGGGACGTCCTCCTGACGTGAAAAGCGCTATATCAAATGCAAGGATTATTATTATTATTATAGATCTGCCTTTAGATTCATTCTAAAGACAAAAAAAATTGCACCCTTGTTTGAGTTACATTTCCTGCAATTTTCCTTTGCAGTTCACTTCAAATTGGATTCAAATGACCTTGATTTGTAATCCCAGCAGAACGAACCTACCTCCAACAGTGCAGGCGCCCATCAGATTCACAATGTTAATGTGCTGGCCTAGGTGACTCAAGACTTTCAACTCCGACATCAGGGCTTCCTTCTCAGTAGAGTGAGCACTTGCTGCAAAGACACATATACAGTTGTAATAGATCACCTCAAGTCAGGTTTTACACTTCAGAGGCCCCAAAATCCCCAGCCTAAGACAATTGTCTTAAAATTTAAGATCATGCAGAATTTAGAAAAATTCTCAAATTTAGTTTTAACTTGAAAGCTGTTTTTCCACAGGTCATCCCATCTTCCAAATGAAGACTGGATTTACAATTTTTCCAAAATTCGGCACCACATCATCTTAAAGTTTTAGACGTAGCCTTTAGGCTAAAATCATGAGAATTTGGAGCCTTAGAGCTCCAGTATTAATTGCACACCTACGTTTAAGCATCTTTACTGCCACAGTCATGACAGAGTCGGCTTTCGTTAACCCATAAGCAGCAGCCTCAACCACCTTTCCAAAGGCTCCAGCTCCGAGGGTCTTACCTACAAAACCAAAGAGTGTTTATCTTCGTTAAGATAAATGAATGATCTGTTATCATCAACTTCAACAAAGTTATAACACTGAAGGGAGCGTATATAGAGAATAGATTTGTTTATAGTGCTGATGCCCTGTAGGCTTATGGCTACCAAAGTATTGTGCATTTGCTTGCTTCATGCACAGGCACACAGCTTGCAGGAAGCCACAAGTATTCATGCAGCTATTTTTAGTACTAGCAGATTATATTTGCAAAGGAATAAACTAAGTTTTCAGGCATCAGAATATATGGGTAGTTACATGCTGGCTCTCTGAATATCATAATAGACCATCAGTTTGTGGATAGGTTAATAATGTTGCAATGTTCCGTCCCTCTACACACTCTCCCCAGATAGCCATCTCTGCATGCTCAACCTCAAAATTTACCAATGCATATATTCTGCACCAATAGCCTCCTTTAAATAACAACAGGGTCTTGCATCTATATATCATTCTTCACGTAGAGTAACATCTTAGAACGCTTTACAGAGATGATGCCAAACACTGAGCAGGGCTGGGAGCTAGAGCAGAGAGATGACTATAGCCAATGTTTAAATGTTTTTTGAAGATACATAGAAAGGTTTGAGACTGAGTAGTTGAAGAAGGGAATCCAAAGGATTGGAGGCAAAGTGGCCAAAGGTTCAGCCACTGAGAGTGGGATGGAGGGGCAGGCAATGTGCAGCAGCATCGAGTTTGCTGAGCAGATGGGGTGAGCAAAAACATGAGACTGGAAAAGATCAGAGAGGTAAGGAAGTGCAAGGGCATGAAGAGATTTGTAGTTAAGGGTAAGGATCTTGAAGTCCATCTGCTGAGACTGTTGAAGACAGGGGTAATGGGCGTGGAAGGCCTCATGTGAGTAAGGATGTGTCCTACAGAAGGCTGCCAATAAATGCAATTGACAAGTCAAAGGCATAAATGACTGTTTCTGCATCATGGGCGTGATATGGAGATAGACCTAGGCAATGTGGGAAAATACAGAAATGGACACTGACTATCCAAGCCTATTATAATCACTCAGCAATACATCATAATTTCTTTGCAACCACTGGAAAATTTCACTGGCGTAGATAATAATCGTATTTTGAGAGTTAGTTACAATACTTCTATTCATTATTCCACTGGCGATATCTCTCATCATGCAGTGAAAGATGGTATCAGTGTTGATCTGGCAACAATATTTATAATATCTTCACGACTTTCAGCTGTTTAAGAGTTTTTGGTAACAAGGAATGAAACAGAATTTAAAAATATATGATTCCCTTTTCCAATATCTTAAAACTTTAAGCGAAACAGGACTATCATATCCTTGGGACCTTCAAAGTATATTGTTTGAATATTTAAAAATATTTAAAGTAACATTAAGAACACTTATTTCTTGTCACAAGCTAAGGGTTCAGACAGAATAGTGAAGCATCAGTTTAATTGAATTTGGGACTTTACTCTATTTACAAATGAATTATTAACCAACTCTAGGTTGGCTGAATTCATAGTGAATGTGTGAACCTTCAGTCTAGAACAATAACAAATAAAATATCAACCCACCAAAGCGCAGTTTATCCCTGGGGAATTCCCATTTGTCATCATATGGTAACTGTGTTGGATCAATGTACGTGTAGTTATTCTCATGTATCCCCTCAACTACTTTCCACTGAATTTGATACCTGGGTTTCTGAAGATAAACACAATAACATCAATGCTCACAATCACAATGCATCACACTCAATCAAGAGTAAAAAAAATCCACAGAAATGCACCTCGCTGCACTTTACCTGCTGGTATTTGTAAACCAGTATTGCTAAAATAAAACACAAGAAGCCTGCCGTTGCAGCAAACAGTATCAGCAGTGGAGTAAAGAGCTGATGCGACTCTGTTTTTTCTGAAAGAACAAAGAACAAGATTAAAGGTTACTTCAGTGCTTTACAAACATATGATTCAAGAAGCTTCAGATTAAATTACACTTTAGCTCCAGGCACAATGGTCTATTCATTACCGAAACCTATTCAGCATGGGTGAGCAAGTTGTTAGTAATGCTGGCAACTTCAAAAAGAGAAGTGTTATTTTCAAAAGCATAGGCGGTCGCTACTTTCGACTGCCAGCAGAATAAAACCACCGCAAGAAAGTCACAAATAATTATTTCACAAAAAGCAACTGCAGGTGTGAAGTTAATGTTTGCAGAGGTATTTTTTATTGTTATAGGATTCATAAAGATGGAGCTCTGCAATAAAAAATACTGTATCATCAGGCTACAAGCAGGCCTATAATCCTGGTGCAGTAATAATATCATGCGCTTTATTCATTGTTATTATTAATAATAATATTCCATCCAGACAAGATTCTCTGCAGACTGTTCACAACACCTCCTCTGGCCAATATACGAACTTCAGGCATAGCAAATATGTCAATTTATGTTTTCAGTCAGCCAGGCGTCTGACATATGTAGAAAGCCAGCACCATGCTTAAAAGTCTCTAAATCAAATTAATATTTAGCAGTGTTAATCTTTACTAAAATGTAACACTTTAAATTGTTTAATTTTTATACGAAAATGAAGCTGTTATTAAAGCTCAGTGTATAATCTACGGTGTTGCAATTTCTCACACCCCATCTAGAGGCTAGCAAATGTGCCCATCAACTGAAACAGATTGACTGCACTTTAGTATATTAGATAGTATCTTTGTGATGAATTAAGTGAAGACTCAGAAAGCAGGTCAGCGCATACTCATATCCTTCCACACTATGTTGAAGTAACCTCAAAACTAAGCATTAATGCAAGTGCTGCAGGCAGCACTCAATAAGTGACACAGCATCAATCTGTCTCTTCAAAAGAACATTGCACACTTGAGGAAACAAGACAGAAAAATCAGACGTGGAAAATTAGAAAACAGAACTCCATTTCACTTCCCATTAAGGGTCAATAACTTCATTTCCTGATGGGTTTGGTACTGTGGGCTCCACACATGGGGGATTAAAGGCTTTAAACACAGCAACTATTCAGGTGGCAACAGTAAATAGTTTCACTAGGTAAATAAGTCAATTGTTCTGATGCCTGATACAAAACAGATGTAATTACCAAATGGTCTGTGACAGCCACATCTTGGTAACTACAGATAATCGAAATTTGAGAAGGAATCTATCTCCCTTGGTTGCTTTCTGGCGAAGGAGAAACAGTAAAGAAAGCATTCATTTTTACTCCAAATGGGGGTGACACTGACAATTTACCAGGATTCATAGCACATCTCTGGTTGTCATGTGAAGGTGCTGGTAGGACCTTTCTTTAAATCATTACAGCCCTTATGGTGAAGCTGCTTCACTGATGCAATACAGATAAACAACAAGATACAAATTTGACTGAAACAAACATGAAGAGACTTTGTTGCAAATTTTCTGGATTAGAATCTATCCTTTTATTGAAAATGATTGTGCTTGTTTTAGAATCAATCGCTTGTTTTTGAATCAAGCTTCCCAGACAGTGCTTTCAATGGCAAGCTATTCAGTTTTAGCTGCTTAAACTCCAGCAGTACCCCAAAGCACACTCTGGGATCCACCAAGCCTTGGATCTTGTCAACCTGCACCTAATACTCTCCAAATTTAGATAAGAAGGATGCATCCCTCCAGGGAGAGAGTGCATATTCCATTCCAAACAAGGGAGTTACCATGTGAAGATGCATGCATGGAACTCTCAGCTTAGTTTGGATACTCATGAATATGATCAATAAAGTTGTTTGATATCTTGCCCAAATTAACCACTTGAATTTGTACAGCTTGAATTGAGCTGCTCAAAGTCACTGAATGGGAAAGTCAGCAAATTCACTTTATATAATAATGCTTGCATTTGATAAAGTATCCTTTCACATCTTTGAGACACCTCAAAGCGTTGTTGTATATTTTGTGGGCGAAACATGGAAGCCAATTGGACACAGCAGTGTCCCAAAAACAGTAGTGGATTGAGTGACCGCATTTTTGTTTAAGGAATTATTACTCCCAGAAAGCAATCCGCCAATCGACTAACAACTGGGTTCCTATTTACTGCTAGGTAAACAGAGGCATGTGGGGTAAGGAAACTGTTTAGCCCTGCCCAGGAATTGAACCCAGATGCTCTCGCTTGCGAGGCGAGTGCTCCAAGCACTATGCTACACTTTACTTCAACATGTCAGATATACATTTTCCAACAAAATATTATCACCTTTTAGATAATGGATCACATCATAATGCTCGCCAAATTTATTGTAAGAAAAGCATTCCACAGTAACGTTGTTCTTCAGTACAGTGGTGTTTATAATGCTTTCCACTACGACTGGACCAAATCTGGTTTGATCTTTTATCTTGGTGCTGCTCGGTATCTTGATTCCTTTTTCTGAGCACCTGCAATTGAACAGCCAAAAGAGATCTGTAAAATAAAGGTTAATCTTTTTCTCAAAGCCTCTTTAACAAACCAACACTGAAATCTCTATTGAAAGAAAGAGTTGAGCATATTTTCCCTCTAGTGATCTGTTTAATCTGTTTAATAACTATTCCTGTGTCAAAGACTAATATTGATTGACATATTGATCACTTGAAAGGGACAGTGCAATTTTGGATTAGATTGAGCACAACACATGTTAATCTTTGAAACAAGCATCCAGGGCAAACGGCACTCACCCTCACAGACACAAAGGGAAATTTCCCCCTTCTCTATAATAGCAATGATGCCACCAATGACTTACCGTCGCTGCACTCCAGGACAGTAATACCACTCTATTTTGGGGATTGGAAACCCTGCTATTCCACAGCGAATTGTGCTTTCGTTGGTTTTCTGAAGAATATTTTTTTCTGGCTTGCCTAAAATGCAATATGAGGATCAGGTTATTGGAGAGTGCTTTGAACCCAAAATAATAATTTTGTTTTGAGATTGTTAACATCCACCTGAACAAGCAGACACGACTTCACTTTAAAGTCTCATCCAAAGGACAGCAGTTCCAACACTGTGGTTTCAAGGCCATATCAGGGACACTCTAATAGTGCAGGAAGAATGAGGCATTAATGGAAGTGCTGTCCTTTGGCTGAGACATTAAAGTTAGCTGTGTCTCATAGCACTATTTGGAAAGAAAAAGCAGTTTCTGGCCAACAATTCTCCTGATAAAATTAGTAATCTACTTTGTGGATATTGTGGGACATTGTTATGCACAAATTAGCTGCTCCATTCGATTACACAGTTGTTACAATTTTTAGTAAAATTGTTTCAGATGTTTCAATGATGTGATAAGGCACTATATTAAATGATTATTTTTTATATACTTACAGTTCATACTTTTATTGTGCTATAACTCTGATAATATGAGTTTAATATTGCATGAGAAACAATTATTCACATTAGTGTCTGTTTGACCCAGTTCATAACACATTTACCTCTAAGAACAAAGGATGTGGATTTGATCCCCATGTTGAAATTCAGGTACATTGCCGAGGCTGACACTCCAGTACAATACTGGAGGCATGCTACATATCAGAGGTGTCATCCTTCATACAGACATTATCATAATGAAATAATCTTTGCATTTGATATAGCAACTTTTCAAATTGTTCAAGCATCTCAAAGTGATTCATAGGATTTTGCTATAAAGTGTAGTGACTGTGGATTTGTATGTAAATGCAGCAACCAATTTGCCTACAGCAATGTCTCACAAATAGCCATAAAGTCAAACTTAAGTTAGACAGTACCTCACTTTAAAATGTCATATAAAGGATAAGATATTAAACCCACAATCACACTCATTCAGAAAGAGAATGGAGTTTTTCCCAGTACTCTGTACAACAATTCTCCGGAATAATCGATCATTCACCATGTGAAGCCTTGCTCGTACAAATAGCTGTTGCTTTTGTCCACAAAACCAGTCACTACACTTGATATGTGTTATATGTGAAAGCTTTCAATGTGATATAAACAGGCATATTTTTTCTGAAATAATCCTTAGTGTCTTGTTTATTGCTTTATGATTCCAATCTGATTTGCATTCGGAATACACTACTCTTGTGTATTTTAGTGTTACATTTCTTTACTTACTGTTGATCCGTACATCAAATGAAACTGTTGAGCTAGCATCAGAATTAGAAGCAGAAAAGTTGTAGGTTCCTCCTTCTAATTCCTTCACCCGAACAAGGTAAAGTTCATTCACATACCTAAGAATAAAACATGACAGCAAAAAGAACAATATTTAATCAATTCTATCACAACAACAACAACTTGTATCGACATAGCACCCTTCACGAGGGGGTAGCATCTTAGAGCGCTTTAATGAATTAATTGAATTATTTCTAAGCATAGAAACAGAGTGGTGGAAAATCTCATGTTTTACAATGGATTCAATAAAATTGAATATATTAAGAAATAGGGAGATGAAATTATAGTGTCCCTTAAAAATTCTTTAACTTATTTTAAGAAGCCTTTAAGAAACACCAGAAGGTGACACTCTTCTTCAGGCAAGCGTTTTGTTTCTCTCAAGGGTCTCAGCATTGACAATTTGTTTGCCAATCAGGTGAGTGATTTTATTTTATAAATTTTCGATCATACATCAAGCTCTGAAATGTATTTCTTTTGTATGCATGTTCTCACAGGGCTGATCTACCTAGAAGGGTCAAAATCCAAATCCTAAGCATTAATATTTAGTTATCAGCCAGAAGCTTCATGCATATTGATCCTATCCCTGCTCAATAAAACTTGATAATTAAGTTTGTATGTCTTGATAACTACATCCTGTATCTAACCCTGAAGCCAGTGCTTCACAGGATATCATTTTAAACTCAATAAACAAAACAAACAGGATGCTGGCTATATTGTCAAGTCAGTTAAGTTGGGATCCCCAGAAGTCAATCTCAAGCTGGACAGTGCTTTGGCCAAGCTGTACCTACAGCACTGCATATACTTCTTGTTGCCAAGACATAAGTGTATGTTTAAGACCTGGCCAGCTGGCCAGACCTTAGATGGAGGACAGAGGACAGCCACAAGGATGATCCCTGGTATTAGAGGAATGAGCAATGATTAAACCAGGATACGTCTCTTGAAGCTTCATAGAAGATATTTCTGAGGGGAACTTATAAAGGAGTGTTACATTTTAAATGGGATAGAAAAAGTAAACCTAGAACAATACTTTAGGAAGCGCAAAGACAATAGAACAAGAGGACGTACGTTTAGAGTTGCAAAGAGCAATTTCAGGTGAGATATCATAAATAATTAGAACAGGTTGCCAGAAAGACTGTTTGAGGCCCATACTGATTTAAAAACAGTTTCATGCTGTCATCAGAAAACGATAGGATGGGATGAAAGGATGAGATCAAGTGAGCAGAAGATTTTTTCATCCAAACCAATCTTGGCAGAAGTGGTGATCTTACGATCTGGAAGTTGGCCCTTTTTTTAATCTGGGGAGCTAAAAAGGTAAACTTCCAAATCATCAGATACCCATTGACATTGCATCCTCCTGCTGTGCTGTTGCTGCACATAAGAAGTGACCACGTTGGCAACGTTATGATCAGCCATTTTCAAGTAAAGGCATGGGAAGAGAGTAGGCAGCTGTGCGCAGCCAATGGGGTTCACACTGCAATTGTGTTATAACCGAATTGGTACTATAAGGGTATAAGGAAGCGGATGATAACAGAGTTGCACTGTAACAATTATCACTGATGTTAACTAACCCATCTTATATTGCAATTCTCCTGACCCCTTAGAGTGCTCTACTCTATGTACACACACACACACATTTTGATGACCGGTACCTGTGTCTGTGTTTTGTAGATTTAACGTAATGGTCTGATGTGCTGAATAACATTCCATCCATACGTCTCCAGGTCTGTTCTGGAGTGGGATAAGCATCAAACTCCACTTTCAACACAAGGTTTCCACCAAGGATTACATCTAAGGGCTTACTATCTAGCTTTGGCAATTTTACAAATCCTTCAGCTAGTCGGAGAGAATTAGACAAGATGAACATTATGTCAGAAATAATTTTCATGAATAAGCAAATCTAAGCATAAATCCAGATTACTCAATGCTTTGGTAATCTTATTATGTGGTTCACATTAATTCACTTACACTTTGTTCTTAAAATGACTTTTTACTAATAGTCACATAAAATCAAATACATTTTATTCTGAAAGTATTACATAGATTTAAGAAATAAACATGAAAAAACGATACCTTCGCATTATATCTGTGATAGCATTGTTATATATCCTAATTTTGAGCTCTACTTAATTATTAAAATTTCAAATACTAAAATCGAAACTGATGATGATTTATTTTCATCAATCATCATCATATCACAAGGAAGAAATCAAAATCTAGAAATATTATTCTGGGTAATTTTTATGAGAAGATGCTAAATTTCTTATTCAATAAGATTACCAATTTCCTCTATTTCAAACATTTTGCTTATTTTGTTGATCTGCATGCCGCTCTCTGTAGAGCAATAGTATCTTTCCAATTGAACGATACTAATATTGGACCAATCATTCTAGATGAGGTATAATTACTACCAATTATATTATATTGCCTAATTTGATATGTATTCCATCCTCCTAGCTCAAGCCAATACTCGTTTGTTTTAGTCAATGTAGCCATATTTTCATCTTCAATCATCTTTCCATAACAACATCCAAATTCATTTTCAATCAATGTGCTGCAGTTCCATTTCACATATATATCCTTGTTAGGTTCCTTGTTTCCATATCAGTTATTTTACATTTGTCCAAATTAAATTGCATTTGTCCCTGTCTGTTTCCTAAAAGATCCTAATTTTCTGAATCTGGTAACATGTTCCCCATTATTTACTTTGCTTCAAGCTTTAGAATTGTTCACAAATGTGGACCTGCTCGAATGTAGGATTCTATGAATCTAAGCAACTGCTATGTTGATGGCAAAGAAGAAATATTTGTAATATTTCAAACCTATCTGTACATGCATTTAAAATATTTGTATAATGCAATACAAATATACTTGGCTGAAAAACCAAACATGCATTAACATGTTTTGGGGCATTGAACACTTAATTTAGTTCAAAATCTGAGATAACAGGAACTCAACACAGTAAGCCAATCCAATTGTTTTGAGAGGCAATTTTAATATTAAATTGAACACGATTTGCTGCTAATGGAAAAGTGGCTAACTGTTTTATCTTGCATGTGTGTGACGAACGTTGAATTCTAAAACCAAAACATGCCTAGCATTTTCTTGGACTTTTACTAAAATTGTAAGAAAATACTTTACCTACGACCTTCAGAAATACAACAGCATTTGAAGTATTAAAGTCATTTTCAGCCACACAGGTAAAGTTTCCGGTGTCATTGACTTTCACTGAATTGATACTCAAAGTTTGAACTTGACGATAGTAATCCTGAATATGATGGGAAGACTTATTCACCTTAGGGACCTGGAAACAATGTTTGAGAAAAATATATCTGTCAGGTGTTCACAGCAAATAAAGCACTTTTAGGTATATTGTCACCCAGAGGATACATCTGTGCTGAGTGTCCAACCTATAATTTCTCCTTTGAATTCTTAAATAGTTATATTTTTACATTTAAAATAAAGCCTAATGGTGAATAGCCTTCCTCTGCAAGTTGTGAATTTCTCTTTTCTCAGGAGAGCTTCAGTGCAGATTTTGAATGATTTCCAAAGCATTTTTGCCTAAAGGCAGTCATTATTTGCATAATAAACACATGATTTTGCATTAAAGCGATCTCTGGAACTGTTAACACACTGATGGTAATAATTAGTCAGACTTAGTTCACCACCATTATTTTCTATCAATCAGTATGAACTGTCCAAATTAATTTTGCTTGGCATCTGTGATAATCCCTTCTCACCAGTTATTGTTGTCTTACATTTAGATGCACTTTACAATTTTTTTTAATAGTTCTTCACACCCATGCCTTACAACCCGAAAGAAAGACAATGAAATGCAACAGAAATGCAAGGTGCTGCAGGTGAGTAATTAATTCAGATTTGAATCTGGGCCTCATCCCAAATTTAGCAATGCAGTTGGAAATAACACATCTCACTCAAAGCTTTGGTACTGTTTACGTTCAATCACTTTCCTTAGCCTTACTTCAGAGGTATCATAATCTCTTAATTGGTTTGTTATTCTTTACTTAAACTGAAGTTAGTGTTTGACATTAATGAGATGAATTTGGCTCAAGTCCCAAGCACTCAATGTACACACTACCCAGGCCAGGGTAACCCTTTGACATCTAATAACAATGAATCTGTCCCCTCTCATGATGAAGGAGAGGTTTTCACATGTTCTAATAGCTGACAAAGAACTGCATGTTTGCTAGCAACACTTGTAAGTTTAAAAAAAATGCAACAATGGTATTTCTCTTGCATATGAATGGGATAAGAATCTATTCATCCATAGTGTCATGCAAGGATATCTCATGTGCACTCTGTCTATGGCAATTGATATTCTTTCTAAAATGTGGTGACCAAACCTAGAAACAGTACTCTAACTGCTGCCCAACTCATAATTTATACAAATTAAGCATTACTTCTTTGGTTTTATATTCTAGGCCTCTATTTATAAAACATATAACCCTCTCATATAACATAAAGCTTTCTTCACAGCTGAAACCCTTCCTGCTTTGGGTCAGCTGAGTGCTTAACACCAGCGAAAACTTATCACCGTGCTTAAAAGCATTCAAACCAAACTGAGACTTTCTTGCATTCCACCTATACATGGAAATTCCCAAGATATTTATTAGAACAGTATGTGTACTCTCTCTCTCTGAAGGGATGCATACTTCTTACCAAATTCTGGAAAGTATTAGAGAGAAGTTGGCAAGAGCCAAAGTTTCGGGACCCCATAATATGCATTTGGGTACTGCTGGAGTCTAACCAGCAATGTCTGACAACCTTTCCCACTGCTTGTACAGCTAGGACCACCCTACCTGTTAGGGCTTCCCTTACAGGGTTAACAGGAGCTGGGTGGGAAGAATCTCTTCCTCCAGTGACTGGTCTGTTATTTCAAGTCCTGCCGATGAGCCAGGCTGGCTGTACAGTCATCAACAATGCCCTGGAATACTGTTGGCCCACATGTCTCAGGAACCAGACTACCAAGACCACCACCGAAGATTGGCTCAATTCTGACATTCCATTACCAAACATATCACCTTGGAGCCAGTATAGCTCCAAGGAGGACCCGCTCACCTCCCCCTAGTAAGATAGTCACTTGTTAGTCATCTGACATCCAACAAGCACGAGTTTGAGTTCACACTAGGTGGTTGGCAAGTACCAGGAACTCCCTGCAAGCTTCCTGGTGGGCAACGCAGCTCAGCATAAAATGTGTGAGAGCATTAGCACCATCTACCTACTTATTGAACTCAAGTCTTAACACTAAAGCCATTTTTCTGCAGTTCTTAAAAAAGCTAGGTGGGACCATAATACTCCAGGGCACTGCTGATGATAGTCCAGCTTACCTGACTTCTCAGTAGGACTTGAAAAGGGAGAGCAGTCACTGTGAGCAGGGATTCTTCCCACTCAGCTCTTACCAAATTCGGCTTTCAAATTAAGGCTTTCAAATTAAGGCTGAATTTAAGAATTTGCCAAAATCTGGACCCTCTGAAATGCTATATAAAGAGAGTAAGTCTCGACCCAGAAGGAAATTTATTCTTTGTGTTCTAGTTGAAACAAGTAAATGCAGTCACATTGCTCTCATAAAATACTAAAGCCATCAAATGGGTTTTACCCTTTTCCATACATAACAATTTCACTGGTAGTGAAACTAATTTGATTATAAAAAGCTGTCTGTACTAATAAAACAACAATGTCTGTCTGTGCTTCAAGAAATGTCGGCTCTTTGAAAAGAGCTAGTGGGTTAATCGGAAAACAAAATTTTTCTGCTTCAAAAGGTTTCTGGGAAGTGCTCAATTTATCATTTGTGAAGCAACCTTGATCACACCAGCACATCAGTTTGGTTTGATCAGTATCAGTGAAAGGACTTCCTTTTCAAGTTGAAATGGTTACATGAGAATACTAAATATAACAAAAAGAAAGAGAACTGCAAGCAAAATTTGCTCTCAGTTATGGAACACGAACTGCTTAAAATGAGAGAATTAAGAGCCAAGATCCATTTGTTATTTTTTTGGATCCACAAGATCATATTTTCTTGTGCAGTGTTTATATTCTGGGCAGTACTGTAGTTTTCTCCCTAGCTTTTTTCACCTTTTCTAAATAAAAACAATTGTTAACCTTAGCTTGATAATCTGTGAGAGTCTGGTGTGATCTGCACCTGTTTAAAAGACCTAGGGAGCTTTAAATAACTGAGGTGTTTTCTCCTGGTAAAATTATATTTATGGGTTGCAGAAAACAGATGTTAAATAAACCTTGCATTTTTATCACATTAAAGTATCTTAAAAGCCTTCAGACAATTACTATTAAGTTAATAACTTATTTTGTAGGCAAACACAGGAGCTATTTGCACCAGCAATGTCCCACAAACAACCATGAGATAAATAATTAATTGATCCAGAAGATCATTGGCCCAGGACATAGGAGAAACTTCTCTTTTGATATGGTGTCATGGGATCTTTAACATTCACCTGAACAGTATAAATTCTCATCCAAAGACACCAGCTGTACCGCAACACTCCCCAAATGCTCCATTGCAGCACATAGGGCAGCATGGAGCTTGAATATGGGGCTTGAACATGGGGCTTGAACCTGGTGACCTTTTTGACAAGTGAGGCAATCTGTTTGTCTAACCAAGATATCTTGGATTAATCGGATCAGCTCCTTCACTGATCTCACAATGCTCGCTGAGAGATTTAAGTGAGGTAATGCCACTAGCTTGAATCTGTAACTTTTTGATCCAAAAGTGAGAATGCTGCGCATTGAACCACACTAATACAAAAAGGGTACTTACTGCACTTGGTGGGTATGTCCAGTAGACTTTAACCATATGGTTTACATTTTTTACTTCACAATTCGTCTCAAACTTCTCGCCTTTCTTGAGCAGCACCAAGTCTTTATCCACAGTGATCTCTGGCGGTCTCGTGGGGACTGAAAGATTGAATGAGCAGTTTATTATGACTCACTGCTGCTGATGAGGATTGCAGGTCTAACAACCGGCTCATTCAGCTTCGAAGCACGGAGAATTCATCCCATTGAGAACAAGCAGACAGCACTTTGTACCCGAATTTGTAAAGCGACACGAGGGCCTCAGTCTTTAGCTCAGTCAAGTAAAATGAATGCAATTAAATATTTATTTACAAAAATAGAACACTGATATCTGATGAAAAACATAATTCTCATCTCGAATGTAGAAATAAAAGATTAATGCTCAAAAATCTTAAGTCGGCATATTCAGCTATACGCTTTGCTGAGTCCCGTGAAATTTTCTGAAGCAAGCAAACACTAACTCAGTTTTGTGCTGCATGCACAATAAAATGGTGTTTCCTTCTGATAATCATTTCAGTGGAATTCAATGTACAAATTCTTAGCAAATATAATCAAATAGTCTATGTAAAAAGATCTCCCACATATTGTTTTGTTTGTAAATCTAAATATGGTGATAGCTTTTTCCACACAGAGTGCAGTGTCGCATTCAGCAAGAAACGTACATAATACGTTAAACCTGCATTTTCCCACAATTGTTTCTCTTGAAATCGATATCACTGCTTTCATCAAACAAAATGTGCTCCAGCAAAAGTCACAAATTAAATCGTAAGCCCCTTGGGACATCCTCCTCCCATAAAAGGCACTTTATAAAGGTAAATTTATAATGTAATTCTTATTGTAAATCCCTTTGGTGCTTAAGGCTTTAAAAATGAATTGATTTTGTTGGTCATTGGAAGCTTTGTTCAGTGATTCAGAAATAAACTAGACAATCATGATTACTGAAATTTAGCTTAGATGGTTTTATTTTCTAATAAGAACATAAACAATTCTAGACGAAAAAAGATCAAGGTCCATCGAGTTCGCTTTCCACCTTCCTGGCAGTCACATGCACGTATGTCCCAAACTACCTATGTACTATATCCCATAATGTTATTTCCTAAAAGAAAATAATCTAATCTGTGTTTTGAAAGAATCAACACTTCCTGCTTCAACCAATCTATATCAATGATTTAGATGAGGAAATAGAGCTTAATGTATCTAAATTCGCAGACAATACAAAGCTAAGTGGGAAAGTAAGCTGTGAGGAGGACACAGGAGAATGCAAAGGGATATAGAGTCCTGTAGCTCAGTGGTTAGAGCACTCGCTTTGCGAGTGAGAGACCTGAGTTCAATTCCCGGCAGGGCGAAACCTTGGGCAAGTTTCCTTACTCCACACGCCTAATAATAATCCCTCCAAAACAAAACAATAATAAATTGGTCATTTTCAATCTACGACAGTTTGTGGGACATTGCTGTGCGCAATTAGCTGCCGTGTTCGCCCACAAATATACAGTCAATTCATTTTCCAGTGTGTTCTGTGAAGCGCTTTGGGACGTCCTCCTGACGTGAAAAGCGCTATACCAAATACAAGGATTATTATTATTACATAGACAGGTTAAGTGAATGGGCAAGAAGGTGGCAGATGTAATACAACCCGGGGAAGTGTAAAGTTATTCACTTAGGTAGAAAAAATAGAGAAGCAGATTATTTTTTAGAGGGGGAGAGACCAGATAGTGTTAACGTTCAGAAGGATTTGAGTGTCCTTGTATGCCAGTCACAGAAAGTTAGTATCCAGGTACAACAAGCAATTAGGAAGGCTAATAGCATGTTAGCGTTTATTGCAAAGGGGTTAGAGTAGAGTACTCCCTACTCCCTAAGAGTAGGGAAGTCTTGCTGCAATTGTATAGGACTTTGGTGAGACCGCATCTGGAATATTGTGTGCAGTTTTGGTCTCCTTATCTAAGAAAGGATATACTCGCCTTAGAGGGCAACGTAGGTTCACTAGCTTGTTTCCTGGGATAAGGGGGTTGACCTCCGAGGAGAGGTTGAGTAAACTAGGCCTATATTCTCTAGAATATAGAAGAATTAGAGGTGATCTTACAGAAACCTATAAGAATCTTAAGGATCTTGATAGGCAATATGCTGTGAGACTGTTGGAGAATGTTGGAGAATCTAAAACTAGGGGTCATAGTCTCAGGATTAAAGATCAGCCTTCTAGACCTGAGTTGAGAAAACATTCCTTCACTCAGAGGGTAGTGAATTTATGGAAGGCTGTGGATGCTCAGCCATCGAACATATTCAAGACTGAGATTGATAGATTTTTAAAAACTAAAGGGGTTAAGGGATATGGGGATAGGGCAGGTAAATGGAATTAGGTTAGCAGATAGGCCATGATCTTATTAAATGGCGGGGCAGGCTAGAGGGGTTGAATGGCCTACTCCTGCTCCTATTTGTTATGTCCCATAAATGGAATCTTGTTGTTGTTGTTGTTGTTCTTATGTTCTTAACCATCTCCCTAGGGAGCCTGTTACACAGGTTCACTATTCGCTCACTGAAATAGTGTTTGCATTAATTTGTTCTGAATTTACCCCCTTCAATTGCAGGCCGTTTCCTCTGGTTTTACTAATCTGGACAACCACAAGACAACAACAACAAGATTCCATTTATAGAGCGCCTTTCACGTCGGGAGGATGTCCCAAGGCGCTGGATAGTTGGGTCGGAACCCGAGCAGGGGGGAAATGGTCAGGGTGAGGGGAGGGAAGGGAGGGAGGGAGTGAGGAGGGGGGAAATGGTCAGGGTGAGGGGAGGGAAGGGAGGGAGCGAGGAGGGGGTAGAGAGTCGAGAGGGGAGCTGAAGGCACGGTCAAAGAGAAAGGTCTTGAGACCGGCCTTGAAGGAGGAAAGGGAGGAGGCAAGGCGAAGGCACTGGGGGATAGAGTTCCAGAGCCTAGGGGCTGAGAGGCTGAAGGCCCGGCCACTGATGGTAGGGCGGTTGGAGCGGGGGATGTGGAGCAGACCGGAGCCAGAGGAATGGAGGGTACAGGCAGGTAGGTAGGGGGATAGTAGGTCGGAGAGGTAGGAGGGAGGCCGTGAATGGCCTTGTAGGTGAGGATGAGGATCTTGAATTCGATCCTCTGGGGGATGGGGAGCCAGTGGAGGCGAGCGAGCGTGGGAGTGATGTGGTCGCGAAGCCTGGTGCGGGACAGTACATGAGCTGCAGAGTTCTGAATGACCTGCAGCTTGTGGAGGGAGGTGCCGGGAAGGCCGGCGAGGAGAGAGTTCCCATAGTCTAGACAAGTTGACACAGCCTGTCATGATCTATGTTGTCTAGCTCCTTTAGTATCTTAAAGACAGCAATCATATTGCCTCTCAATCTTCTCTTTTCCAGCGTGAACATGCCCAATTTACTTAGTCACTCCTCATCATCCAGTCGTTCCATTCCCTCAATCATTTTGGTTGCCCTCCTCTGTATCTTCTCGATTTCTACAATATCCTTTTTGTACTGTTGCGACCAGAACTGTACACTGTCTCACTAATGATTTATACAGTGGTAGGATTACCCCACTATTTTGGTTTTCTATTGCTCTTTTGATACATACCAGCATCTGCTTTACTCACTACCATGGAGCATTGTTGGGAGAGCTTCAATTTATTGTCAATCAGGACCCCCGGTTCCTTTTTATTTTCGATACATATTATTTCCCTTCCGTTCAAATAATAATCCTTTCCAGGATTTGTTGTCCCCATGTGAAGTACTTTACATTTCTCCACATTGAATTTCATCTGCCACCGATCTGCAATTCCCAATATGTTCAACTCCTCCTAACCTATCTTGTTCAGCTTCACAATCTACCACATTCATTAGCTTGGTGTCATCTGCAAACTTAGCCATTGTGCTTGCGACTCCTAGTTCCAGATTATTTATTAAAAAATTTTAAAAAAGAGGTCCCAAAACAGACCCGTGTAGAACTCCACTAGTAACATTTTCCCACTCTGATAATATTCCCTATACCCGGGTTCTTCTAGTCAACCAATTGCGTATCCATTGTAATATTTTCTTTTCCTAATTTGCTTTCAAGTATATCACAAACCATGCTAAACTCTTACCTTTAACTCAAGGAAACAGAATATCCTTTTGATTTAGTTCAATGTCGTTCACATGTTAGAGCTATATATGTGTTTCCGAGGCACAACATGTCACATGATCTTAAGACCACTGTCTTACGTTTTAAGATCATGCAGAACTTTGAAAAACTCCTAAATTCAGTCTCAATTTGGAAGCTTGTTTTCTACAGTTCTTAAAAAGTCCTGCGGAAAATAGGTCTCCAAATGATGACTTTTCCAAAATTCTGCACATTCTTAAATTTGAACACAATGATTTTAAGCCTAAGAAACTTCCAAGGCATTAAATTACAGAAAGGTCATCAGATCCATGGATAGAGTATGGAGTAGGTTCACATAAGTAAAACCAGGGATTCAGAGTAGTAGTTTGTAAGGTTAGCCTGAAGCAGTGAGGCCACTCCCACTGGAATTTGGAAAGTTGAGAGTGATCGGATACAGTAAAAAATCATCTAAATTCTGAAATATTTTGAAAGGTTAAATAGCAGATTATTCCCACTGATAATTAGGGGTCATAAGGTCGGAATCACCACTTGAAGAATCAACTTTATAAAAAGCTTTTCAGCGCAAACGGCTGTTTAAACACAGAATGCTCCCTATAATTGGCTACTGAAGCCGATACTGAAACAACTATGAAATTACATTTGTATGGCTCCTTTCACATTGGGAGGACATCCCAAGGCACTGGACAGTCAGGGATTTGGACCCAAGCAGAAGGATTAGGATCAGGAGGAGGTTTAGACGTGTCCTGAAGGGGGGCAAGGGAGTAAGCGAGGCGAAGGGACTGTGGGATGGAGTTCCAAAGGATGGGAGCAGAGAGGCTGAAGGCCCGATTGCCGATAATGGAGCGGGCAGGCCAGGGGATGTGGAGCAGGTCGAAGCCATTCTGTCAGGGCAGTAGTGGTCCTGGAGTTGAGGGTGGAGGAGAGGGAGTGGAGTTGGGTGTCATCCGCATACATGTGAACAGAAACAATGTATACAGGTTATGGGGAAAGAGAAGAGAATTTGAAGCACCTAGCTTCAGTGGAAAAATCACTCCAAGATAGGTTTCAGAGCACCTTGAGACATCCGACCTGTATGAAAGCAGCTACGTAAATATAATTCTACATTGTATTGTATTATGGCTTCCTGTAATTTCTATCATTCGTGTTGTGAATATATGTATCTGAGATAATAATCCTTGTATTCGGTATAGTGCCTTATCACATTGGAAGGATGTATCAAACGCCCACCGGTATTACCGTGAAATGGAGTGACTGTATTTGGCAGCCAATTTTGCGCACAGCAGTGTCCCACAAACAACCGTGAAGTGAATTATTTGGGGGATTGTTGGCCAGGACACCGTGAGAAATTCCCTTCTCTTTTCAAATAGTGCCATGAGATGTGCTCTGGGATGCTACCCTGCTTGAATGGCAGTGTATAAATGCAAAATATATACAATCAATTCACTTTACCGTATATTCTGTGAAGCACTTTGAAACTTCTTGAAGACATGATAAGGCACTATATCAAATGCAAGGACTTGGGACTTGAACCCACCCTTGAACTGACTCAGAGGTGAAAGTGCTATCAACTAAGCCAAGCTGACACACAGGTGACAACTGAAAGCAGGATAAAGCGAAGGGCAGGTCTAAAACATGGTAATTTCAGATTCCTTATAGTGACTCTGAATCACAAATAGGGATTCCTTCCAGTAACCAAAATACATCACCAACCAATGGAAATTCTATCCCAGCATGATCTACTCCCAAAATATGATCTACTCCTTTGGGTCAGTTACTAAAAAGAGTCTCCATTTGTAACCCGCGTCCTTTGTTTTAGACAGCTAAGCTGCTCTTTCAAGAATTTTTCTTTGGAAAAAAATACAACTGGTGCATAAGCTTATATGTAAAGAGTGAATGAATTTAAAAGTCTTAAATCATTAAGAAATTATTTTGCAAAAGGGGAAAACATGAGTATGATACCACAGTGGTGAGCATTCAAGGCTAGGCTGAGGGAATGTGAAGATTTATTGTCAGGGCAGTGTGGCAATGAGGCAAGAGGTATTCATTCTTCCAGCTACCCTTGTGGGTCTGTGTTTCATGGGTTGGCCGCCTTCTAATTTCAGGTCTCTGTGTACCAATTTCAAATTCACATGCTAATACAGGCATTGTGAAGACGTATTCTTAGTGCCAACAGCAGAGCCACAAGTAGGAAGAACAAATACAAAATACGGTGATATGTGAAATTATGATGAAACAGGGATAATAACTATTATTATGCTTGTGTTTGGTACAGCTGCTTTCACATTAGGAGGACATCCCAAAGTGCTTCACAGGGTATACTGTAAACTGGAGTGACTGTGTGTTTTGTGGGTAAATGCCCACAACTATCAGGAAACTGAGGACAGGCAGCCTGAATGAAAGATTCAACCTGTGCTCTCACCTTACAATTGGCTTGGCCATCCAAACAAGTACAACATAGGCATCCATTATTGCCTGACTACATTACTATGATGGTAAGAAATTCAAAGCTAATCCATACATTTTCAAAGGCTAAGTGACGACCTTTTGAATACACACTTGTCAATTATACAACACGTCTAAACACAAGGATAAAACAAGGAAGTTACTGGGATTTGCATACCTCAAGAGGCAAAGTAAAAGTCAGTTATGATGCTCAATGCAAATGAATATTCCACATGCAAACTGAAAGCAAACTCTAGATACTCTCATTGGCACAGCCAATGATAGCCTTGACCAACTAACGACTATCCTCCTTGGTGGGAAGGTAAGCGGAAGTTGGGAGCAGGGATTCTTCCACTCAGTTCCTGTTAACCCTGCAAGCATCCCTCCAGACAAAGAGTGAGCATTCCATTAAAATAAATCTCTGTGTAGGCGGGATGTATGGAAATCTCAATTTTGTTTAGATACTTTTAAACATAGCGATGGGTTTCTGGATGTGTCAGTTACTGAGTTGACCAAAAAAAATTCTGTTTTTATTAAAGTAGAGTTGTAAAATTTATTTTAATTACAACACATGGACTGGACTGACTGTGACTTTATTCTGCAATCCTATTCAATGAAATATTAAAACCTAAGAATTAGAGTCATAAATAGTTGTATGGTTTTGATTGGAATCTTCAAAGCCACAATGATGTAATATCCCAATAAGACTCAGTTCTGGAATCCAGTTCACTGTCATTTATGACTTCCTGTGTTGAATTCGGTTCAAACATCTTTCCTCTCTTTCAAAAAGATTGCAGCAGAGTTATACAATTACAAGGTAATGCACTCAAAAGTAAAGAGATCTGTCCACCTTTCTTAATAATGACTTCAGCCTGTGGTCTTACAATCTATCCGGTATAGCCAGCTTTTGCTAATATTATGATATAGTATATTCTGTGTGTCTTAATGTTTGATGAGGGTTGTTAGTGTCGAACAACTTTATGCATTAGATATCAAAAAATATTGGAACATTAGATGAGTAAAGTTATAGTATTTTATTGTATTTTAGTCTAAAACTCAGAGGACCACATTTGTACCAATTTGTGTTAGATCTCAAACCAAACATGACCTACTCTCAGAGTTCAATCTGACAGGTTTGCAAAAGGTGCAGTTTGGTATAACATATGATGTCCACAAAATATAAAATTAGTATTCATCAAGATAGCATCCAATGAAGCATCTGTAACTACATTCACTGTGTAAAACTCCTCCTTTAAAAATGTAGTTAGGATAAACCATTTCACAAGAGAGAGATTGGACTAGAGAGGTGGGAGAGGCTCAAGAGTGTGATTAGTTAGGTTGGGTGGATGCTCAGGTGCAGTATAATCACCAGGATGGACTAGTGGGACCAAATGCCTGTTTTGCTTCTACAGATTCTATGTAATTATTGGCCACAATGTTGACTACTCCACCTTCCTCAATCATCTCTCCTCCCTCATCTACCTCCATAGGATCGCACTCTCCTGATTCCATTCCTACTTGACCCACCTCTTCCACTTAATCTTCTTTATGGTTTTTTTCTTCCCAACTCGTATGGTCACTTGTGATTGTGAATCTCAAGGTTCTATTCTTGGCCCCTTCCTTTTCCTCATCTACATACTCTTTCTTGGCAACATCATCCACAGACCTCTTGCTTAGACATTTCAAAAGCACTCCTCACTGGTCTCCCTATCTCCACCATCCATAAACTCTACATAATCCAAACTCCACCACCACATCATCCTCACGCACAGCAAGCTCCGCATACCTATTATCTCAGTCCTCTCCAAGCTTCCATTGCTCCTGTATCTCCAGCAGTTCTATTTACAATGCCCTCACCCTCACCTCCCTTTGTCTCCCCATCTATCTGATCTTCTCCTAAGCACTTCTATGCTTACCCTCCTTGCTTGGCTAACTCGAGCTTTTGCGCGTCTCCCACCAACCGGTGCCATCATAAGTGAACAAACCTTCAGATGCTATGCCCTTAACCTCTAGAATTCCCTTCCTCTATCCTTTGATCTCACCTCCTTTCTATCTGTCTTTGAGTCCCACCTTAAAACCTATTTCTGCAGCCATCCCAATATTCACCTCTCACTTTGCCTTTCCATTCTCTCTTGCTCAGCATTCAACCCTGTCGTTGTAAAGAACTCTAAGATATTATTCTACGTGAAGGATGTTATCCAAATACTAGTTGGCTTATAATTCTATGTAACTAGAAATGTATTTGCCAGACTGCAAGATTAACAGTTTAAAGCTAATAATCATATATTTGATCTATGACAGCAAAATACAAACCCATTGACCACAGGCATTGTGGATATTCTCAGCATAGTGGTTAATTATATACTTGTTTGTAAAGCAAAAAGAGCTTAGTGATGTCACCCCACTGAAATGGAGTCCCGGAGCATAGTGGTTACTGTGCTTGCTTGCAAGGCGAGCAAACTAACCAATCTAAGAAAAATCTACAAACAGACATCCTGGTAAAACATTAGGCACATCATGCAGACAAATACACGCGCAAGTACCATTCAAGTGAAGGATACTTTGTACATAAGTAACTACTGAAATAATTCTGATCAGAAATTCAATTCTTTGTAGAAATTCAATGTAGCACACTAATTTGATAAGTTCTGTTATGAGTCAACAGATATCCATATCAATTAAGACATTTTGATTCTAATATTGCATTAATGCTTGTTCCATGAATGTAAACAAGTTATTACCTGGTATTACATTCAGTTTAAATTTTTCCGATCTTTTCTGTTCACCGTCTTTTGTTGCAGTGCACGCATAATATCCTTCATAATACCTCTTCAAATTAATGATTTGTATGCCTGTGTAGATATCAGTCTTATAGGACAGGTTTTTGTGCATTGCTTCGCCGTCCATCCACTGCAGTTTGAGGTTCGTAATGTTGGGGGTTGTGACACGACACGGTATGACAGCGTTGTCCCCTTCTTTTCCATCAATTATCTTCTGTGTACCTTTCGGAACTACGAACAAACTACTTGAGTCTAGAAAAGAGTTACATAGACGTTATCACAATTGTAGCAAAAAACAGTTCACACTGACCATTTGATCTTAAGAGTGCTTGAGGTGAAGAAGGGTACTTTGCCCATTTGATCTCATCCTACACTCATTATAACATTCAGCATTTTCTTAAATTAATCTATATATTTGACTGTCCTTTCAGCCACATCCCTCGTCTTACTCAGTATCCATCATTTCCATTGGTGAGCATTTGCAATGGAAATGGTATGATATAAAACATTTGTTGTACATAGTACAATAATTCTGTAGTACTGAGGAATCACAACTCTCCTTCATTCAAATCTACAAATGACAATCTATAAGAATAGTAGTTCCTTCGACCCACTGAACCTGCTCCACTGTTTTATCACTTCATGCCACCTCCTACCTTTCTATTACCATCTGACCACCGAGAGCAGTAGTGGCCAACTCATAGCCTGTGGCCTGTCAAGAAGTGGCCATTGAACATTCGCACTAGTCTTGGTGAGTCTGTTTTAAATCAATATTTAGTTTCCAGTAATTACTAAGTGGTAATGTTTATGGTCTGGCCATGAATCAAGAAATATTTTATCAAGAAAATTAGTTGGTTGACATTGGCCACTGCTGACTTACAGTATTTTCCATATCCCTTACTTGTCTGTACAGTAAGGAGTAAGGACTGGAATAGATCATTCAATAAATGCCTATCATCTCAGGTGCACCAAATGCATTGTTGAATAAAAGGGAAGCAAGCGGCAGCTTAAAGAATTGCATAGTCCTGAAGTCTAGGTTAAAGTAGCTGCCTGTTGTGATTAGTTTATTTTCAATGCATGGAAGAGAATGTAGGACAATATATTGCTTGGGAGCTAAAAGCAGAAAGTTCAGAAAACCAACGACCATAGCAGTGCAAGACAATGATAATAAGGAAACAGCATTATCTTAATTTGCTAACATGTGTTCATATGGATATTATAAGTTTGAATTGAGAGGGTCTAATGTAAACATACTAAACCTCATATAAGTCATATCAGTTGGGATCATATATTTTATATGACTTATGCAAAGAATGTCAAACTTTCATTGAATATAAACTCTTGAATCAATAGAATACTAAAACCAAAGGACAAGAATTAGTAAAACCAACATGGCCTGTGATTGAAGGCAGGTAAATTCAGAACGAATCTATGCAAACACAATTTCAGTGAGCGAATAGTGAACCTGTGGAACAGGCTCCCTAGGGAGACGGTTGATTCTTTCAAACACAGATTAGATGGTTTTCTTTTAAGAAACAATATTATGGGATATAGTACAAAGGTAGTTTATTGTTCACACAATAAAACCAGAGGACACGGCCTGCGATTGAAGGGGGGTAAATTCAGCACTTAGCAAATTGCTGCAACTTAACATATGAATTGGTTGTCTTATAGCAAACATTTGACAACAGACTTTACTGGAATCATAAAATCTACTTACCTTCCACAAAAACATAAATAGAAGTGGTCTCAAAAGTGTTGCGATTCTGACATGTGTATTTGCCAGTTTGTTTTGGCTGTGCTGAATTGATTCTGACTTTATGACTATAAATGGCTTTCTTTGCACTTGTTGGAGTTTGCCATCGCACTTCAGACTTGTCTGTACAATTCAGATAGATGTTATCACCCATCTTCTTGATCAACATGTCACCGGGTGGAAAGATCAAAGGTATAGAAAAACCTGCAAAATAAAAGGTACGAAATTCCACCATTGTTTTGTAAATGTTGATTTCTGATTGGTAAACCTGTTTTAAATCAGACATAAATCAGTTAAATACATTATTAGAACTGACATTTGGAGATGATCAATGGATGGATATAATCTCATTCTAAAGTCTACTTTTAAGGAACCTTTCCCACTTACATTTTGTTACGGGCTTTCTAACACCAGTGTTTTCTTTCTAAAATGTATAGGTTGCTTAGAGTTGATGGTACCTGCCTAATCAATCACAAATGTCTTGCACTCAGCAATGCTTGAACCTAATGTACCTACTCACAATGGTACAAACCCCTTATTTTGGCATGTTGAAGCTTGCAAGTGGCAATGGCACAGTAGGGTCAAACAATTTACTGCTAAGCAACCATTCCACTCTAATCACGGTTATAATCTATGTACAAAAGACATCTAAATAAAGAATGAGCTGCACTTTATTTTAAAATAAGGATCAATGAATGGCATGAGTAAATTTTATGTGGATTTGATTTGTGTTAAGTTCCAAGAAAATTGAATAGATACTGAGTGAGTTACCTCAAGGTTTTATTTCTATTAAAAATGTACATGATCTGGACTTGTAGCTTTAGTGGCATCAAGCTAGGGTAACTATGGAATCAGAAGAGGCAGCCATATTCTTAGAAAGAGAACCAAACAGGGCATGTGCGCATTAACTGATCACTAGAAAATGAAATGCAGTCCAGATAAATGTAAGTTTTACATTTTGGAAGCAAAATAGGTGGCATATGGATGAGACAGAATTTGCTAAGGAACAAATTGGATCATATGTAAGATATTAATAGATTACTCACTCACTGTGTCCAAACAAAATAAAGGCAACAGACTGATATTTCTGAATCAGATAAATTCATAAGACATAATAATTTCATAATTACAGTTCTCTGGCAAAGCCATGGCTGGCCTACTACATAAAAGCTGATCATTGTCACATTAAAGGGCCAACCATACCCACCCATACCCTCAAGAGCAAAGACGTTTCTCTAATAGGCATGAGCTATGTGAAATGATCGGAGAAGTTAGGGCTCTTCAGGAAAACAAAGAAGTTTCCAGAGTGAGGTCCTTATACACTAATGCAAGATGTTTAATGGGATATAGCAAGTAAACATGGAATAAAATCTTTCAGATATGCCAAGGCAACTGGAGAAGAAGTCATGGGCCCAGGGTTATGAAGGGAAAGTTTAGGACGGATACCAGGATGAATTTCTTTGCAGTATGGATAACAAATGGAATGGGTTTACCAGGAAGAGTGGTTGAGGCCAGGACACATTTTCGCTCTGAGTGATTAGTTGCTTTAAGTACTCTGAGATGCTACTCTGCGTGGATAGCACTATATAAGTGCAAGTTGTTGTTGTTGTTAATGCTACAGGAAAGAGTGAATTGGTATTCTGGACAACACATCAAAACTGGGTCAAAGGCCCTCTTTTCCCAAAATTCATCTTGTATTACAAAATGCATTTTTTATGTTATGCATGAAGAAAGAAGATGAAAGTCTGGTACATCTGTTCCCTATTTGGATTCGATTTGAATAGAGGCTTCCCATCCCTATTCCACAAGACTTATTGTGCATCATTCTTACAAGAGAATTATATCAGTTCTTCTTAGTGAAGCACCTTCTTCTATCTTCTTTTATACTAATAAAACAATGTCTGGCTGCGCTTCAAGATGGATCTCAATAACCGATTGACGTAGAGACATGATTTTGTGGGGGGCGAAAGAGGCCGAGACGGTGGGCAGAGGGTGAAAGAGTCCAAGATAGTGGGGGGTAGGGGGCGAAAGAGACCGAGACGGGGTGGGAGAGTGGGGTGGGGGCGAGACCAAGATGAGCGGGTCGAGACCGAGACGGGGGAGGGGGTCGCGACCGAGTCAGGGGAGGGGGTCGAGACCGAGTCAGGTGAGGGGGTCGAGACCGAGACGGGGGAGGGGGTCGAGACCGAGACGGGGGAGGGGGTCGAGACCGAGACGGGGGAGGGGGTCGAGACCGAGACGGGGGAGGGGGTCGAGACCGAGACGGGGGAGGGGGTCGAGACCGAGACGGGGGACAGGGTCGAGACCGAGACGGGGCCGAGACCGAGATGGGGGAGGGGGTCGAGACGGAGACAAGGGAAGGGGAGGGGGGGTTGAGACCAAGACGGGGGGGCGAGACTGAGATGGGGGATAGGTGTTGCCAAATGGGGGGGGAGGCGAGACTGAGTGGGGGTGGGGCGACCGAGTGGGGGGTGTGGGGAGAAACTGAGTTGGGGGAGAGACCAAGTTGGGGGGAAAACCGCGTTGAGGGGGTGGGTGGGGAGAGACCGGGTGGGGGGAGGGGGGCTAGACCAAGTTGGGTGGAGGGAAGGGACGAGACCAAGATGGATGGGGATGGGGGGGGGGCGAGACCGAGACGGGTGCGGGTGGGGGGGGGGCGCGAGACCGAGCCGGCGAGACTGAGACGGCAAGAGAAAATATATTGGAGGAGTCCTCCCAGAAGGAGTCTTCCCAGCTGAATATAATGTCTGAACTAAAATGTTTGTCTGTGTATCTGTCTGCGTATCTATCTACATTCTGTATTAGATCTTTTGGTTGCGAGCAAAGCTACAGCAGGTACAGCTAGTCACGGTATAAAATTTTAAAAAACCTACTCATTTTAAGGTACAGTAGTTAATACCTATTCCAAGATCTTGAGACCTATTCTGGAATGCTACCCTGTGTGAAGGGCACTATATAAATACAAGTTGTTGTTGTGTTTGCCAATGCCACTCACTAGGAGGCACGTAAGCATTCCCTGGAGTGTCTTCCCTAATCTGAATTATGACAGCTTTGTTCCAGATGGAAAACAATATTCTATCATTTTGTGGCACAACACATTGGAGCACCAATTAGACCAGACATTTGGAATTATACAAGAACAAATTATAAAGAAACTGGGCTGAACCAAATTGTGTCTGAAGCTTGGTCTGGACTTTTATCATTGATTTATACTTTAGCATTATGTTAACAACATTACTTGATCACAATCCAGTGACAATGATATTCAACCTGATATTGGTATCTAGTTTTCAACACAAGGTATCCATACTTTAATCAGTACAGGTGGTAAGGTAGTTTGATTGACTACCTTAATAAGCCTAAACCATCAGCAGTCCCCTACTATGAAAGTAGGGAACTGCTGGTGGTTCACACAGACTGATCACTGAAGGCAGGGATTCTTCCTACTCAGCTCCTGTTAACCCAAAAGCCAAAAGCCATAACAGGTAGGTAGTCCTAGCTGGACAAGCAGAGAGAAACTTGTCAGACAATACATTCAGTGGCAACCCATGCTGTTTTAGCTAGTTAACCTCCAGCAATACCCCAACACACACTTTGGAATTTCCATGCCTCAACTCTTGCCAATTTTCACCTAATACTCTTCAGAATTAGGTAAAGATGCTGCATCCCTCTGAGGAGAGAGTGCATATTCCATTCCAGACACAGTAGTTTCCGTGTGTATTTGGATGGAACTTGGTTTGGTTTGGATGCTCTTAAACATGGGTTTCTGCATGTGTCAGACCTGGATGGCTGCAACAACAAAATGGTTCAGATGTTTATGACTAGAAAAGCAAAGCTAATGAGACTGTAGTCAAATGTAGTAAGCCTGGCCAGTGAAATTATTTAGATTTTATTTAAATATGTAGCACTGGTAGTGCTATGCTAATGAAAAAATCTTAACTTCACTCTTAATTTGTGCCTCAATCTATCTCCTAATTTCCGGATCTCTCTCTGAAACGTATTCTTTGCTATAGCATTTGTTCTTAAATGAACCACAACTGCTGGCTGTTCTCTCTGTCTCTAATACCTTCTGTATCCACTTTATTAAGTATCTTACCTGAGAGGTAAGTGACTAGTCAGGAGTTATAATCTGAGTTACAGCAGCATTTATTTATTCCCCTCATAATGAAACCTCCCATTCCTAATCTTCACTTTGTATTTCGTCCAAAAAATACAAAGTCAATCCACTTTACAGTATTTCCTGTGAAGCACTTTCAGGTGTCTTGACGATTTGATATGGTGCTATACCAAATGCAAGGATTATTATTGTTCACTTCCCACCCAACCCCCCCGGCAATCCATGGCGTGATGGCATTGCTCCTGATTGCCCATTTCCCATTCCTCGTGTGGTCGAGGAAGCTCTCAGCCTCCCGAAGGTAATTTATTTTGTCAGCCGGGTGTCTCACCATGCTTAAGAGTATCTAAACCAAGCTGAGATTTCAACGCATCCCACCTACGCATGGAAATCTTGGAGGCAGATTGCTGGAATGGAATGGCGCACTCTCTCCCTGGTTGCCTAATTCTGAGAGTATGAGGTACAGGTTGACAAGAGCCAAGGCTTGGGGACACCAGAGTGTGAACTGGGGGTAATGCTGGAACCTGACCAGCTGGAATCTTGCTATTGATATTGGAGTCCTGTAGCTCAATGGTTAGAGCACTCACTTTGCAAGTGAGAGACCTGGGTTCAATTCCAGGCAGAGGGCGAAACCTTGGGCAAGTTTCCTTACTCCACACAGAGCCTAATAATAATCCCTCCAAAAACCCAAAACAATAATAAATTGGTCATTTTCAATCTACAACTGTTTGTGGGACATTGCTGTGCGCATTTGGCTGCCGCGTTCGCCCACAAATATACAGTCAATCCACTTTACAGTGTGTTCTGTGAAGCGCTTTGGGACGTCCTCCCGACGTGAAAAGCGCTATATCAAATGCAAAGATTATTATTATTATTACTATTATTGACTCCCGCGGGTGACAGTCTCCTCGGGGGCTCCTCCAGCTCAGGCACTGTGAGCTGCAGCGCCCTGTTGAGCACACACACTCCATACTAATTTCCAGCAGATCAACAAACTCAACTCACTCGCGGCATTTGCCGGCACCAAATGATTGATTTGCAAACAGACAGACAGACAGACAGACAGACAGACAGACAGACAGACAGACAGACAGACAGACAGACAGACAGACAGACAGACAGACAGACAGACAGACAGACAGACAGACAGACAGACAGACAGACAGACAGACAGACAGACAGACAGACAGACAGACAGACAGACAGACAGACAGACAGACAGACAGACAGACAGACAGACAGACAGACAGACAGACAGACAGACAGACAGACAGACAGACAGACAGACAGACAGACAGACAGACAGACAGACAGACAGACAGACAGACAGACAGACAGACAGACAGACAGACAGACAGACAGACAGACAGACAGACAGACAGACAGACAGACAGACAGACAGACAGACAGACAGACAGACAGACAGACAGACAGACAGACAGACAGACAGACAGACAGACAGACAGACAGACAGACAGACAGACAGACAGACAGACAGACAGACAGACATACAGACAGACAGACAGACAGACAGACAGACAGACAGACAGACAGACAGACAGACAGACAGACAGACAGACAGACAGACAGACAGACAGACAGACAGACAGACAGACAGACAGACAGACAGACAGACAGACAGGACAGGACAGGACAGACAGACAGACAGACAGACAGACAGACAGACAGACAGACAGACAGAAGACAGACAGACAGACAGACAGACAGACAGACAGACAGACAGACAGACAGACAGACAGACAGACAGACAGACAGACAGACAGACAGACAGACAGACAGACAGACAGACAGACAGACAGACAGACAGACAGACAGACAGACAGACAGACAGACAGACAGACAGACAGACAGACAGACAGACAGACAGACAGACAGACTTCAGATCCAGTTTGCCTGCACATCGGGAACTCAAGTGGTTCATTGCCAAAGAGTGCGGACGGTTCAACCAACGGTGGAGGGGACCAAAGCTATAACCTGGTGCACAAACCAACCTTTCACTGCCTGTGTGTGTGTGTGATGGTGAGAGAGGGAGAGGGGGACAGAGGAGACCGGGGAGTCCTCTCACCGCTAACCAGTCAGCAATGTCTCGTGTGGGGGAGACAGGTATTTGACAAAAGTTCCCACTGAGGAAACAAGTGATCCGCCAAAAGTTAATAACCAAGTGAAACTGGTGTGTCTGTGGGACTCGCTGCCCAGAGCTGAGCAATGTCAGGACCAGTCCTGTCCCACCCTCTGGTCTGGGACACGGCGCACATCACTGTTCCCTCCCAACTCACACAGACACAGACACAGACACAGACAGCCCAGTGTGGTCAGACCGGTCAGCGGCAACACACACGTCTAATTACTGTCATTTGCACTGTTATTAAAATACCCGCACACACGACATAACCCCCAACCCCCCACCCCCACCCCACCCCCCACCCCACCCCGTGCGCTAACCCTAACCCCACAGCAATCGGCACTGCCGTCTCTCTCCTTAAAGCTCAGGACCTCAAAACCCGGGCTCTTCGCATCGCACAGTTCAGTTCAGTGGATCAGTCGGGGACGCGGCTCCTTCGGCAGTAAGTTTCCAAACCGTTTGCAAAACATGTTCAGCGGGTCATCCATCCCCACGTCCAGCGAGTTCCCATAACAGCCGGATTCAAAGCGCTCTTTGCATTGCAAACGTGACTTTTTTTTTCCCCCTCTGGGGTGGGTGGGGATGGGGGGGGGGGGGGGGGTTTAACATTAGCAGTCGAGTGTAGGAAAAGTAAGAAGACGGTGGTGGCTCACCTTGGTGAATGATCAGAAGAATTACTACGGGATTGCAACCAGGAGCCATTGGGGATGTATTGCATTGATTCACCTGCAGCAGTTAAAACTCCTGACAAGCTTTGCTAAGTCCCAGCTCAGCTCAGCTCAGATCTGCTCTGCTCTGCTCTGGGCTGCTGCTCCCATTCAGTTTTCACAGCCTTCACCCTGTGACGCGTTTCCCCTTTTTTTTGGACTGAGTTATGAGATGCCCTATTGTTGAACTTAACACTGTTGCTTTTGTTTAATGTGCAAAAAGAGTTATATTTCAATAACCGCCAGCCAGCCAACCACCACCACCACCACCAACAATCTCCCTGGGATTGAATTTAAAGTCATTTTAATGAAATTATACTCGCAGTCACTGAAACTGCAGCTGCTGTCGGCCACATGCAAAAGGTAAACAGATGGATATTCCAGCTGCACAGTGTAGAGTGCAGATGTGGGCTATAGTCCAGTCGCTTTGGGTTGAAACAGTGGTGGTTTATAAACGCGCACAATCGCTCCTACACATGTTAGTGAAGGCAGGAAATGCATATTTTATCCTGTTTCTCAAAGGCAGTGTGTGTGTGTGTGTGTGATCTATGGGCTTATCAAACCGACTATTAGTCTGGTTGATAGTGTCTGCACTGAAAAAAAATTCTGATGCTTTATAATAATAATAATAATAATAATAATCCTTGTATTTTGATATAGCGCTTTTCACGTCGGGAGGATGTCCTAAAGCGCTTCACAGAACATACTGTAAAGTGAATTGACTGTATATTTGTGGGCGAATGCGGCAGCCAATTGCGCACAGCAATGTCCCACAAACAGTCGTAGATTGAAAATGACCAATTTATTATTGCTTTGTTTTTTTTGGAGGGATTATTATTAGGCTCTGTGTGGAATAAGGAAACTTGCCTAAGGTTTCGCCCTGACCTGCCTGGAATTGAACTCAGGTCTCTCACTTGCAAAGCGAGTGCTCTAACCACTGAGCTACAGGACTCCACAGAGTTCCAAAGGGATCGCATTTAGTCCAGGTCAACCTGACCTGCATCAACTGCACATTTCCCTACCCCACTCCCCCCATTGTTACCACAATGCACATTCATTTTCATTCCTGATGTCCAATTTGATGGTATCCAGTTCCTCTCCTCCAAATTTTTTTTTTGTCCATGATGATGATTAATTAAGGACATATGTCAACTTAATAACCAAGGTAAAGCAAGTCCCTAGGGCACATGTCCGTGAAACAAATGTAAAAAGTAAACTGAGCTCTGGGCCCACGCTCATTTCCCACAAATACTAACCTAAAAATAGAGGATACAAAGGACCACATTCCCACCCCTACCTTAAGCTGCTATCTGGAATACTTTTGTTTGAAACAGCATTTGGTCAAGCCAAATTAAGAGCGAATGCTTGGCTAAGACACTTGACCAACATTCTTTCAGATGCTGAAACAAAAGCAGAAGTCGCTGGGAACACTCAGCAGGTCAGGCAGCATCTATGGAGAATGACCATAGATGCTGCTGGGTCCACGACCCGAAACTTTGACTCACTTTCCTTTAGCCATAGATGCTGCCTGACCTGCTGAGCGTTCCTTGCGACTTCTGTTTTTGTTTCAGATTTCCAGAATCTGCAGTATTTTGCGTTTTCTTTCAGATGCTGTTTGACAAGCTGTAGATTTCCGACATGTCTGGAGTTTTTTCATCAGGTTGCCATTTTCTAAAGCGTTTTCCTTGAATAAAATTGACCAACAATTGGACATACAATTTCCTGAAGCTGGCAGGCAGTAGTAGCACATTGGATCAGTGTAAATGCTAAATCAAATTGGATATCAGTGGCGTTAGCCACCATGGAAAAGGGAAGGCAAAATTTGTTTTGGGGAGAGCCAACTGAACTCCACCAAATGTAAAACACAAACCAGTAACATGGGTAAACATATGACAACTTGCATGTGTAGATAAGCGTTTCAGCCTTCTACTGGAAGAACAGATTTTATCATAAAAATGCTATTCTTTTAAAGATTTTTTTAACCAGAATAAACAACTCGAGTAAATAAAAAAAAGTCGTCTTCAGCTCTGATCTAAACTTTCCGCCTTCACCAACATGATCATAACACATCATTAAATTCATGAGAATGGGTTAATTACCTGATCCACATTCATTGAGATTTGAATTTGAATAATAATAATCCTATATTTGCTATGTTGTCCTTATCATATCAAGATGTCTTAAAGCTCTTCTCAGGAATTTCAAAATTGCATTACAGGATTTCAATTTATATATTATTCGATACCTTACCCTGATGTTAAGATAATGTTCTGGCAGTATATGCATTTATGATGTAAAACTACTTCAGATGCCTTCAAGTCTGACAATTTTAAAATAGCTCCCTTTAAAATATTATTATTCTACCTCCATCTAACTTATAACCGAACGTAATGATCAACAATGGAACATTAATGCTTAAACTTTTTAATACAAGTAACATAATTTTCTTATAAAAAAGTGCCTTGCTGCATTCAGTTATATGCATTGATTTGAAATAAAATATTTACATTTTAAACCAAACCTCACTGTTTGAATTCACCTAAATTAGGTTCTGCAGATTCAATTCAGCTATTTAGTGACTAGTTACTTTTAGCTAGTCTTTTAGCTAGTCTAGTTTTGAAAACGACAAATGCAAATGTGGGCATCATGCATGCAAATAATTAATAAACCACATGATGTATTCATTATGAAGTACCAGAAAATGCAAATTATTTGATAGACAAAGGTGCTGTAAATAGGATGAATTCCAGTTTTAAGGTCACCAACTTGAATACTGCGATTCTGCCACTTTCTTGTGTCCTGTGCTTCCCTGAATGATCTGGTTCCGAATGGTTATTTTCCTTTGTGGGAGGAGATAAAGCAACCTGTCTCTCTCTCTGTATATATATATATATACATACCATATCCACAATGTAAGTTATTCTGCACTTGGGGAATTACCTCTTCTCTCTTTGTTATCCTTCGGACCACAATTCATTCTTCCACTGTGGGTTAATCCTCCTATGTAGGTTGTGTCTCTCTGACTCTCAATGTGAGAAGCGCTCTGAGATACCGTCCATTGTGGAGGGCGCTGTATAAATCCAAGTTGTTGTTGAACCCTGTTTTTTTAAAAAAAGTTACATTTCTTCTTTTGAATTGTTCTGCTCATGCAGTGGAAAATGCTGCGAAACAGCTTTTCAAGTTCAGNTTTTTAGTTTTAGCTAATACTTATCAGACTACTATCTAGTGCGAGACAGAAGATTCACATACCCAAGGCTTGATATAAGATTTTTCAAATTGGCAAATAGAACAAATTATCCCAATCCCTTATCATAACCTAGAACTCTAAATCCCAGAAGCCTCCTTGGGCTCTTCACTGAATTATCTCCGGTTGGTATCAAAATCTTTTTCAGTGAAATTCAGAAAACGTGCATGCAATATTCAAAATTCAGTCTCAACATTTTGGTTTCCTCATTGCATTTGATATAGTGCTTTTCGCTTCAGGAGGGCATATCAAAGCGCTTCATAAGCTTTTCTGTACTGTGGATTTTGTAGGCTAACATGACAGCCAAGTTCCATCCAACATTGTACTACAAACAACCATGAAGTGAATAACCAATTTCATTTGGGGTATTGTTGGCCAGGACACTGGGAGAACCTCCCTTTTGTTTTTGAAATAGTGCCATCAGATTATTCATGGTCACCTGAACAAGTAGGTATGACCTAAGTTTAATGGTTGATCTGAAGGATAGCAGCTATGGTGATGTAGTGGGACACCAGAAATGCACTGGAGTGCCAGCCTGGACTGTAAGTTCAAAGTCCTAATGTGGGGAATGAACTTACAACCTTCTGACTCACCGGTCAGAATGCGAACAACTGAGCCCAGCTGACAAGATGGCAACAACATCTTTCAACAAATAGTCAAACACATTTGAAGTGCAATAATAGTGAAGTGTTAGTCTTGTTGATATAACAACTTTACATTAATTGATTTCAATAAGTGATAAATAAGTGCAAATCCTCCATCTTAGTTCATTGACAACCTGGGTCAGTTTGTGGCACTCTTGACTAAGTCAAAGGTTGGGGGTGGGCTGTGCCCGACATTGGAACTTCGAGTTCAGAGTTTAGTCTGACACTCCAGTGTCATGCTGAAGAGGTCTGCACTGTCAGAGGTGCCATCTTTTGAGTGTGTTAAACATAGGTTCTGTCTACCAGTTATTGTGGACATTAAAGATGCCATTCGAAAAAAAGAAGGGAATGTCTTCTCATTTATAACAACCCCTCAGATAAAATTGGTCATTAACTCCATGACTACAAAACTTTGCTGTGTGCAAATCAGCTACTGTGATCATCTACGAATACAGTCACCACATTTTACAGTGGGTCCTGTGAAGGGCTTTTGAGACATTCTGATAATATTATAAGGCCCTATATCCAATGCAACAATTGATGTTATAGTTAATGACCATCACTTTTGGTCTCCCAAATGTTATTACACTAGAATTCAACTATTATGAGTTATAAAGGGCATGAACGAACACTCTGCCCATTTCAATGGTCTTTACACTGTTGGCCAATCAACGAAGCAACTGGGGTTTCTCTCCCAGAGGAGAAATGAGAAGAAATGGGAAATCCAGAGGAGAAACGAGAAGAAATGGGAAATCCAGAGGAGAAACGAGAAGAAATGGGATATCCAGAGGAGAAACAAGAAGAAATGGGATATCCAGAGGAAAAACGAGAAATTGGGAAATCCAGAGGAGAAACGAGGAGAAATTGGGAAATCCGAAGGAAAAATATGAAGAAATGTGAAATCCAGAGGAGAAACGAGAAGAAATTGGAAATCCAGAGAAAAAAGGGAAGAAATAGGAAATCCAGAGGATGAGTATAAAGAAATGGGAAATCCAGAGGAGAAACGGGAAGAAATGAGAAATCCAGAGGAGAAACAAGAAGAAATTGGGAAATTAAGGGAAAAAATATGAAGAAATGGGAAATCCAGAGGAGAACGAGGAGAAATTGGGAAATTCAGAGGAAAAATATTAAGAAATGGGAAATCCAGAGGAGAAACGGGAAGAAATGAGAAATCCAGAGGGAAAATATAAAGAAATGGGAAATCCGGAGGAGAAACGAGAAGAAATGGAAATCCAAGGGAGA